GAGAGAGAGAGAGAGAGAGAGAGGAACGGATAGTCTTGGGGACATGGTGGTATGTGTGGTGTAGTGGTGCACGTACACGGTACAGTATAACGCAAAGTGCAAACTGATCAATGTATTGTGACAACTTACGTAAATGCTCTTGCGATCGTAAAATAGTACGATGTTTTCCACGTGTTATAAGGGCGTCCTTTGCACGCATCATCGGTGTGTAAAGCTGGGCATAACCACAACCGGCATTATTATCAATGTGATCCAGCGTGTACGTAGTCGTGAAGTTGCCGGCCACTTCCTTTGGGAATTGATTGCAAAACCATTTTAAGCGGAAAGTGTAGGGCTTGGACGCGTTGCCTCTAGCGTTGCGGTCCTGGATGAGAGTCATACTACTGGCGAACTCACTCCGAACTTGCCCTGAGAATGGATTGCACAAGGATGTAAAGGAAGGATGAGAGGGACCGAGAAAAAAGGGGTGATGTTACGAGAGAACAAAGGAAAAGAAGGTGAAGGCAAACAGAAGGTGGGAAAAGTGAATCTTTTGCTGCATGGGATCGAGAGGCTCTCAAAAGTCCTCACAACTTCAGGACCCTGTCACCTTTCGGATGCCTCAAGGGTCCTCACAAGTCATCATTAAAGCCACCTAGAAGTTGAGAGGTTGTTCGCTTCACTACCGTGCCACCCTACCTCGTCCGCCCCCAAACTCTTGCAGAGCCGCGCAAATGCAGCTTTGGATAAGAAGAGATGAAGCAAACAGGGTACAATTGAATCTTACCCGCTTTGCATTCTGTTGCGGTCATCCCATAGCCTGGGGGGCACTCGCAATATGGCACGACCGCCTCTTCAAAATTATTTGCACGCATGGTCTTGCAGGTGGCTCCAGTGGGGCATGTGCCACAGGGTGATTCTGAGCAACACAGCAAGCAGAGGGCACACAGGGCATGGCAGAGAGATGCCAAAAGGTGGGGTACGGTAAGAGGTGTGGACGGTCTTGCAGGTGGCTCCAGTGGGGCATGTGCCACAGGGTGATTCTGAGCAACACAGCAAGCAGAGGGCACACAGGGCATGGCAGAGAGATGCCAAAAGGTGGGGTACGGTAAGAGGTGTAGACGGTCTTGCAGGTGGCTCCAGTGGGGCATGTGCCACATGGTGATTCTGAGCAACACAGCAAGCAGGGGAGACACACAGCATGGCAGAGAGGTGGTGAAGTGAGCTCAACAAACTGGTCAAGCTGCAGATGAATGTTAAGAGCGAACTGCGAATGGGCCAACTACACCAAATGATTGAGCTAAAGGAGGATGCGCATTGACTGGCTGGGTTAGGTGTAACGAAGGAGCTAGGAACCATGCGCACTCCATTCGCCCATGCTCACTCCATTCGCCCATGCATACTCCCTTTGCCCATGCACACTCTATCCGGCCATGCTCACTCCGATTGCCCATGCAGACTCTATCTGCTCATGCTTACTCCATCATGCTCACACAATCCCCCTCCCATTTGCAACCATCTCCCTATCTTCCCCCCTCCTCTCCCCTCCATGGCCCATTGGAGTCTCATGCTTACTCCATTTGCAAGAGCGGAGTCCATCGGCGTTGATCACACAATCGCCATCCGAACCACAGCCCAACAAGTCGCAACCCATGTCTGTGGAAGGAGGGGGAAAATGAAGAGAAGCTAGAAATACATCACATGGAGCATTCAACCACATGCACTGCTTTTTCGAGTCGACTCAAAAGCAGTCGACTCAAAAGCATGTCTGTGGAAGAAGGGGGAAAATGACGAAAGGATAGAAATACAGCATGCGGAGAATTCGTTACATGCACGAGGCGCACACAAAAGCAGCCTGCAACTCTAGTTTTGAGGCGCCTCAAAACTAGAATGCTGCTCGCTGGAATGTCTCTTAATTAGCATGCACGAGGCGCACACCAATGCAGCCTGCGACTCACCGATGCAAAACAGAATTGACTCTTGACTCATACCAATAGGCGCCGAAAAAAAAATCAAGGGCAAAGCAACTCACAGACGCAAAGAAGATCGCTCGGAGGCATCTGGAAGCAGTTGTTATGCTCTTCAAATAAAAATTTTGAGACATTCGCAAATCACGTTAGAGGCACCTCGAAAGTGGCCAAAAAAACCGAGAGCATTGCACTGCAACTCACTGCAGCAACTCACCAAGAGCAGTTTGTTTGGAAGCATCTCATAGCCAGGGTCGACTTTTGAGGCGCCTTTTGGGATCCCTCAAAACTGAGCCCACTTCAGCAACTCACCGCAGAACAGTTTGTCCGGAAGCATCTCATAGCCCGGGTCGCACTCGCAGGTAGGAGTGAGATGAGTTACGGGCAAGTGGAAAGTTTTTCATCGACACAGCAACTCACCGCAGAACAGTTTGTCCGGAAGCATCTCGTAGCCAGCGTCGCACTGGCAGGTGGGATCGCCATTCTCCTTCCTCACGCACTTGCCATTAGGCCCACAATTCACTGCAGCACAGTTGTCTGCCGAGAGAGAGACCCAGGCAAGGGGAGGCATAGCATCATATCAGAAAACAATAAGATCTAAATGGCTGCAGAGTCGGACATGCATGCAAGCTGCTAACTCCTGCACGATAGTTATATTGAAGGGAGGTCATGTTTCAAGAACTGGGTTTGGAATGCAAGGCACGTGCTCTGTGCTCCTCTCCTCGAACTCACCAATGCAAGAGAGCGAGTCATTTGACGGCTTAAAGCCCGTGTTGCAGCTGCAGAATGGCTTTCCGCTGGCATCCTTTGTGCAGTTGCCTCCAGGACCACAATTCACCGAATCACACAAGTCTGCAGGGAAAGGGGACCCAGGCAAGTGGAAGGACGATACTGTATCAAACCAGGAAACCATAAGATCGGGATTTTGGCACTCAACCCGAGGATCACTCAGTTGAATACGATGCAATCCGTAACTCTAGCAATGGATTTGAGGGTTTGACGCGCAAGCAAAGCATGTGCTGCCCTCTCGACTCACCAATGCACGAAAGCGTGTCATTCGACGGCTTAAAGCCCGCGTTGCAAGTACAAGATGGTTTTCCGCTCGCATCCTTTGTGCAATTGCCACCCGGGCCACAATTCACCGCATCACACAAGTCTGCAGAAAAAGGGAACGAGGCAAATGAACAGATGATATCATATCAGAAAATGATAAAATCGAGATGTTAACAAAGGTCACAGAGTTGAATATGCACGCAATGCAGTAACTCTTGCAAAATAGTTGGTAGAGGAGGCCAAGCTTTAAGGGCTGGATTTGAAACCTAAGTCATGAGCTCGGCATTGCTCTCCTCCCACTCACCAAAGCATGAGAGCGTGTCATTCGACAGCTTAAAGCCTGGGTTGCAACTGCAGAATGGCTTTCCATTGTCATCTTTTGTGCAGCTGCCGCCAGGCCCACAATTCACCGCATTGCACAAGTCTGCAAGAAAGAGGACCCAGAATGATATTGAGGCTTGACAACCAAGGGATATAACATGAAAAAGATCGGATACAAAGACAAGACAAGTGCGATGAGTGGTGCGACTCTCATTCCCCTGTAATAACACATGCAATGCTCTCAGGATTCTGACCTTGGCAAGTTCCATTCACAGCAGCAAAGCCGGGGTCGCATGGACAAGTGACGCCCTTGCTGTCAGTCGTTGGCATGCACGTGGAGTTGGCGGGACACGTGGCGTGCTGGCAGGTGATTTCTGGTAGCATGGGGTGAGAAGAGGAGAGGCATGTGGGTAGCACAGAGAGATGAGGCGTGGTTGGTGAAATGAGAAAAGAAATATGGTGAAATATGCCAGAAAAGCCATCTATCACAAAAGAAAAGAGACGTTTGCAACATCTGAGGCGTGCCTCAAGAGGCAGGGGTGCAGCGTGGCTGTTGAAAGCACATGGCAGTGAAGCTCCCTCCACGAAGGGAGATGTGGCATAGAAGGGGTGAGATGTGTGTGGCACGGTGGTAAGGCGGCAAGGAGGCAAGCAGGCAGGGAAGGAAGGAGGCGAGGCACGCACCACACTTGCAGGAGACGGAAGTCCATTGGGAAATTCTCTTTGAGCTGCACTCAGGGACATGAGGAACACATTCAGATGAGACATGAGGAACACATTCAGATGAGACATGAGGAACACATTCAGATGAGACATGAGCAACACATTCAGATGAGCCATGAGGAACACATTCAGATGAGCCATGAGGAACACATTCAGATGAAATGTTGCGAAAAGGCTACATAGACAGCGGGTCACAACTGTGGCATTGAAAGGGGCCACTCTTTCCCCTGCAACCATCTCCATCACCCACCTCCTCCCAACACCCACCTGGGCACGTGGAAGAATCTCCTCAGAGCGGCAAACTGCGGCTGCAGCACCTCATCCAGCGCCTTGCCCTTGCAGGCCGGGTTCGCAAAGAACTTGATTTCTTTGCATGCCGCTCCTCCTCCCTTCCCATACGAACCGCCGCCCCGCGTGCCGCCACTGCTGCCGCCCGTGCCGCCGCCCGTGGCGCCGGCCGTGAGCCCGTGCCACCACACCTGCACGTCTCCCGCCGCCTTGCGCGCTGCCCGGGGAAGGCTGAAGCAGCGGAGGGCGTCGAAACTGACGGGGAGGCTCACACCCGACACTTTGATCTGCGTTGCCACGTGGACCCGAGCCTCCACCGCACCGCCCCCCAGCCCCACCCCCACCCCCACCCCGACGCCCAAGCTGTCATTCCCGCTTCCCGCAGTGATTTCGCTTTTGAGGCTTCTGGCAGTTGCAGCCTCGCTTGCGCCTCGCACTCGCACCGGCACTCCCACCGTGACGAAAGCGCTCTGGCGATCCGCGTTGTGGGGATCCGCGTGCTCGCCTGCCGCCATGTGCGCGGTGGTGACGGCTGGTGGGAGAGGAAACAGAGGTGATCAAACGGGCAGAGAGGGTGCGTGCTTCTCAGAGGTTGTAACGAGGTGGTGGTGAAACGCTTGCTGGCTTACACGAAGGAGTCACTTTTGAGAATTCTCAAAAATGAGAAGTTTCCCTCTTCCCCCCCCCCCCCCAACCCTGTTGGGAAAAAACACACAGAATGAAGAAACCCCTGGGAACTGCAAGAAGAGAGGAGCGACTCACCGCATATGACGGCGAGGACGAGGAGCGGAAGCAGCGCGGCAGGAGAGGCGGCCATGGCGGTCGTGCTGCCACGTCAGGTGCGGTCAAACTGCGACGTAAGGCGACTCCAATGCGTCAGGTGGGGTAATTCTTGTGCAGAGCGCTGCTGCCACGTCAGGTGAGGCACGCGCAGTGAGTGTCGGAATGTGGCACTGTCAGGGAATGCTGGTAGCGCAAATGAGTAGCGCAATATCAGGGAAGACGGCTCGGACTTGCCTTGCCTTGCTCGTACTTGCTTGTACGCGTTGAAGGCGTTGCAATTTTTTAGAATTCTAAAAAAATCGCGCAGCTCGATGCTACTGGTACAGCTGAGATACACTCAGGTGCTAGACCTTGTGTTAAAGCTGAAGGTATAGTAATGGTAAAGCTGAAGTGGTGGTGGTATAGCTGGGGGTGTGATAGTGGTATAGCTGCTGGCATTGAAATCACACAGCACGAGGAAATGGCACGGAACCGACGGAGGAAATGTTTCCATAGCCGCTCTGGCGGGTGGTTTAGAGACAAAGCTCGGACGCTCATCCATCTCCGGAGTTCGCGGAACATCTGCGCGTTCCGCAAGCAGTTCCGACGGCCCCCCACCCCCCAAGGCTGATATTCCACTACGCGGCGCTAGGAACGCGATCGGGTGGCGTGAAACGGGAGTTATTGATGCATTCGGGGGTTGCGAGCTGAAACGTGCGAGTTTAGCTTCGAATCGCAATCCTGTGGCGTGCTGGGCCCGCGCAGGCCGAAATCAGGCGACCGGCTCAGCAGCAGTCGCCTGCAGTGTCGCTCTGGCTGGTGAGCGACGGTGGGAGGTTGAACGAAGCAACAGGATTCGAGCACAAATGAATTATTATGGAGGGGAGGACTCGCACGCATTCCTCGCACAAGGACGGGCGGAGTTCTGCTGCCCGCACACAAGTAAATTATTGCCCTCGCGCAATCGTGCCACTCACATTTGCTCATCCCCTCCGGCGGAACGTAAATTATTGCCGCCACGCAAACGGAGGGGGTGCGCATTGCGCAACATGTGATGCTGTGCTGCGCGACTGACGACGAGCGACACACCATCGCAACACGTGATGCTGTGCTGTGCGACTGACGACGAGCGACACACCAAAAAAGGAAGCTCGTTTGGATGCGGATCGATAAGTTGCATTACGGATTACAGCTCTCGAAAGTAAATCTCCAATAGTTTTTTTCCTCAGCACAAACAATCAGACTAAACTTGGCACCAATAGCAGATGAAACTTTGTTCAACTTTCCCCGAGAATGCACGGGTACGTGTCAACTGTACATTTCATATCCATAAAAATATAGCGCACTCTCTCCAGGAAATTGAACCAACAGAATCATAAATATATTAAACCAGATTTACCACAAAGAGACCTTATTGATTGAACGCATCTCGCAAATGGAACAAAAAGTGATTCCCCACTTATTCGGCCTCTTCAAGACCAGCAGAACCCCACTAGAAGGCCATGCAACACAAGGCCCTGAAGTGAGTAGCAGCCTGAAGGCTGCCGTACTGTCATCACTGTGGGCAGCCATGAAACGGCTCCTCACAAAGGGAATGAACAGGAAATAACCACCACCATCCGATGAATACCGATATCCATAGCAGGGTTCGAGCGTCCAATCACCATCCATGTCGCCCTTGAAGCTTGAAGCCAGCAGCATGATTGATCACTTTCGCAGCACATGCGACGAGTCACCATTAAAAAAAAAAAATCAATCTTCTTGTATCGAGCAGAAGTCTGCCGTCCATCACCACAACGCTGGGTTGCCAGCCAAGCTCAACAGGTCCACGTTAAAGCCATCCGTCCACGCCTCCGACCATAGCGAAGCAAATCCGCCAGCCGGAGCAGACGGCGTAGGAGGGATGCCTGAGGGGGTCGGCGGAACGGCAGGCTCCCACGCGTTGGAGCCCCAGCCGGTGGGCGTGGGACACGGAACAGCGGCAGGAGTTGCCATCGAGTACATGTCTGCGAACATTGACGGAGCATTAGCGGCGACGTTCGCGACGTCGACGAGAGGCGGAGCTGCCGGACGCTTCGGAATGGCTGGCGCTTCCTGCTGCGGTTGCGCCTGCAGCTGCTGCGGCGGCTCGTGTTGCTGCTGCGGCTGATGCTGCTGCTCACGTTGTTGCTGGAACTGCTGCTCCTGCTGCTGCCTCTCTTCGGCGTGTGCCTGTGGCAGCTGCTGCTCCTGCTGCTCCTGCTCCTGCTGCGACGGCACTGCCTCCTCCTCATCCACACCAAATTCCATAAGCAGCTCATCAATAAATAACTTATCGTCCAATTTCTCGGCTTCCACGTTAGCACCTGGAGCCAGCACTGCAGGCTTCACCTCCAGAGGATCCGAGAAACCAAAAACGGGTATCTTAACCGTTGGAGGAGCGGGACGCGCTTTGGGACAGACCGACGAGACCATTTCCGCCTCCCACTGAAGAATTTCGGAGAGGCTGAGCTTCTTTTCGTGCTTAGCGTCTTCCTGCTGCTGCATCTGAATGCGGAAGTCAAGCTGCTGAGCCATCTTGCTCCGCTCCCCCTGAGCAGGCTTTTCCGGGACGGATTCCGTCGGCTGATTCCGTCCCGGCGCCGGCGGCGGAGCAACGTACTCTCCTCTTAACGACGACGCGACGGCTTTCACCCAATCCGAAGCGGCATCTTGGAAATCGAAGTTGACAGCTCCGTTGGGAGCGAAGCGCGAAGGTGGCGGTGGGTGCTGAGAAGCGGTTACACAGCCGGAAGAGTGAGCAGGCCGAGCAGAAAGCACGGGATTCTGAGGAGTAGGAAGCGTGTCATTCTGAGAGTCGCGGCGCATCCCACGGTTGGTGGTGGTGCAAGCACGGACCAAACGAGGAGCATCCGACGGCTGACGAGCTGGTACAGCTGTATTCGAACGGACCAACGCAGGCTCGGAACGATGCTCGGACCGAGGCATGAGAGTTGCCAGGTCTGGGAGAACGAGAAGCTTGGTGGAGGAGGTGGAGCCACTGGCACCTCCGGATGAGACGGGGAGGGTCCTTGGCTTGAGCCGAGGTGGCTCAGATTCGCACTGCTTTCTCTTTTTTAGATTCGGGATGGCAATCGGCTCTTGGCATTCGGCAGGCCACCCGTTGGAGCCGAACCATTCCGATGGAGCTTCTTTCGTCTTAGCGGCGACTCTAAGCGCATCCATGAAGCTCATGCACGCCATGCTGGCAGACTTTATGATCTGAAGGGTCAGAGATATAAGAGCTTATGTTCTGCTTCGCCTGTGCTGGCTACTACAATGGTCACGAGTCCTAGAAAAACCGCGAGAGGCGGTGATAATGAATCAATTAAATTAGAGGAACGAAGCTGGAGGGCGGTGAAAGAAATCTGGTGGACTGCTGTGTGAAACTCAGACGAAGCTGAACAGAACTAAAGATTCCAGTGAAGTTCGCTAACGTAGCAGGCAACAATAATCAAACCCTACTGCAAGGCCTTGAATGGTCGGCAGGGCATCTCAACCGCATAGGCTCGGCAGGTATCTCGTCGAGCAAGTTGTTTTGATTTCTAAAATGGCAGGCAAGCAAATCTCAGGGAGGGATGTGTGGGTGGGTGGATGGAATTGTAGGCTGAGGTCGACGGAAAAGGGAAACCTGCTGAAGCGGGGAGGGGAAGAAAACGGCGGAATGCTGAAGAAAGGATGCTGAGAAAAAGGTGGGTGTAGGAGGGGTACGGAGGAGACAGGAGGAAGATACGGAGGGAGGAAGGCGAGCAGGGGAAGACGAGAGAGAGGAAGGGGAGAGCAGGAAGGAATGGAGTAGAGTGAGAAGTCGTTGGGGCAATGGAGGAGGGAGGAAAGGAGGAAAGGGCGGCAAGGCAAGTGGTTGGTTCGGGGGATTTCTCCCCCACTACGCGAGTAGGAGAGTGGTGCGGGACGGTTGGATGGTACGAGGGATATTCTCCGCGCGCTCCTTGCAGCATGATCCAGCGCAGGGAGGCCACACAATCCGGCGCGGGGAGCCCAGGGAGGTTGTGATGCGGTGCGGAGCCTAGGGTTTGCCGCGCACGCTTGAGGTTGTTTGTTGGTTGGTGGGGGCGCGGATAGATGGTGGGGGTAGGGGGAGACGAGGGGGCGTAAGGGGAGGAGTGTTTCGGAAAGAAAGGAGATGCGAGGGAGGGCGCCCGGCCCGGTCTATTGGCTTTGGCTGACGAGACGGATGTCCTGCTCGGAAAAAAAACGTTCGAGTGGATGGAACGGTACAGTGACAACACGCGTGCCACTTTCGGAGCTGCCCTGGAAAAAAAAGTTTTGCACAGCAACACTTGCATTCGGCCAACTCGTGGTGGGTTTGTGAAACTGCCTCGAGCCTGTCACGAGCAGCTGCCTCGCCATTGATGGCGTTCGGTTACTGTTACCACAAACAAAGGCGAATCACGTGATGTTTTTCCAGGTGCATAGTCAGGTGGTACAGTTGATGAACAAAACTTTTGATGATGCCCAGTATGCCACACTCCGGTTCCCAACCACAATTGTTGGCTAAAGACAATAGAAATATTTGTGGTGACCGAAACGGCTAGGGGAAGGTCTGGGCGGGTGCTGCCAGCGCCAATGGTGCTCTTGGTTGTTGAAAAGATCGTTCTTTTGGCGGCTGTTTGGTTCCTTCCTTCCACGGTCAACGAAACTCTGACCGGCAAGACAGGGGGTTCGCACTGGAGGACAAACGTAATTGACCGTCGATCTGAGGCTGGAAATACTGGCATCCTGCAACGTGATTGGTTTGGGAAGAAATGCTGTCAGCAGGATTCGTGACGAGGCGACAATCTTCCCTGCCATCGTATTCTAGCTGTCAGCAGCACCACTCACACTACTGCACCCTTCGCAAGAGGCCCCCTTCTAAAGCATATGGACGTAGACAAGTGTTTTAGAGGGAGATCTGCATGATAAATGGGAGAATAATGGCTGTCTGGAAAGGGACAATGCCTGACGGGATGTGTTGCAAAAAATAATCACAGGCGCCTGAGTGAGCTACAAAATTCAGACATACTGCAGTCTAATAAGCATACTACAAAACAAACAAACAAACACCTCATTCTTATAAAGCACTGGACTAGGATCATTATACAATGACGATGCGAAAGCATTCTTTCAGGCCGTCCCTCGTATCGTATCAGTCCACTAGACTAGGATCATGAAAATGACTCCCATTCATCCATTTAACCAACCTAAAATGCCATGGCATCTGAATACCAAAATACCTACGATAAAACGCATCCCTCACCTTCTTGGGCCCGACTGTTTTCCTGGGGCAGTTTTTGAACAGTGGTCGTTTCTTCAAGATGTCTGACCCTTTTCTAACTCCCAGATCGTCCTTGGCATAATCAATAAACCGTGCCGAAGTGGAAGTTACATTGATATGCCGATGGGTGTTCAACTTTGGAACATTCGGCAACTGCTCGCAGTAACGGTAATTCATGTCCGCATCTTGCACATCGACCAGAACCAGGTCGATGTAATTATTTGTGGGCAGCCCGCTGCAATTGCCTGTCTGCGTGTCCTTTAAGGTGCCCGGCGCGTTTGTGTTGCAGTTAACCCCGTTAATAGAAGTCTCGGAACAAGTGTCCTTCATCCAGGGCCATCTCTGAAAATGATGCATTCAACAAGGGGGACAAATTTGGTGAAACAAGAAGCATAGCGAATGCAGGTTGATATTTGAGGTGTAGCACAGGTTGGACTGTGTAACTAGCTAGAGAGCTCACATATTATTGCGTAAAAGAGGCCCAGCAAGATTGAGACTACTTGGACAAAACTTCATTCTATGCTAGAGTATATACTAGTTGACATATTTTTAAAATGGCATTTGAAAAATGACATATTTGGAAAAAATGACCTCTTTTATGAGGGAGACACCGCCCACCTGGTGAAACGCGGCACTGCTGTAGTCCTTGGCTCGCATGCGGTCCCAGTAGTTGCCGAGGTTGCACATGGTGTTAACAAATAACGGAGTTGGCTTATAAGGGGGAAATACCTGCTGAAACGCGGCACTGCTGTAGTACTTGGCCCTCATGCGGTCCCAGTAGTTGCCGGGATCTTTGAGGCAATTGCACACCGTGGCAGTGAGGCACGTGCACCACCCTGGCGTGAGCTCCGTGCCCTTCATCACCACATGCTGGATGCGGTTCCTGTGGGTTAGTACAAGGGCAATTGGAAGGGGGAAGCCATGTTCCTCAATGGCTCAATATGTGTATGTGTACACTTGCTTGCAGACACCCATCCCACTACTGATGCACCAACTCTTACTGCTGAATCACAGACTACCATCGCTGATTCACCGTTTCCCATGCTGACTCACTCACCTCTTCTCATTGCTGACTCACCATTCCCCATTGCTGACTCACCAGTGCCCGTTGTTGACCTTCATGCCATCCACCGTCCCGATACAAGCCCCTCCGCGTATAGTCACACCCGAGCTGGCATAGTCCAGGTAGTAGCAGTGGTCACCCCCGATTACGTAATTGCACTCCGCCAAATTACCCGGGTTATTCCAGTGCGTTACGTAGTATATCCCCGTGGCGTCACCCCCGCCGGTGAGATTCCGGCCCTTGGCCACAACGAGGTTATTTGAAATGGAGGTGAGCATGCAATCGCCCTGGGAAGGAGGAAGGGGATGGGAGCGGGCGTGGGCGGAGGGGATGGGAGGAAGTGGGGGAGGTTTGGAGGTCGAGATGGTGAGTGTGGTTGCGGCCCTTAGCGACAACGAGGTTATTTGAGATGGAGGTGAGCATGCAATCGCCCTGGGAAGAGATAGAATGGGGTTTGGAGAGATTGAGATGGTTGGTGTGGTTCAATCCTTAGCCTCAACGAGGTACTTTGAGAATGTGCTGAGCATGCAGTTTCCCTGGAAGGGTGAGGGCAGGAGGGAGGGAACGGGAGGGAGTGGGGGGTTCTGGTGACTAAGGTTTCGCACATGCGCATAACATGCTCGCGAATCGTCATAACATGCTCGCGAATCGTTATAACGTGCTCGCGAATCGTTATAACATGCACACTTTCCCCATGCCTTTTTGGCAACTCCCCTCACCTGCAAGTGAACCATGTTGCCGCACGTGATGGCAGCCCACACGTAGTCATGCACGAGGTTGTTCTTGAAAACTGCTCCCACCACTCCAAACTGGAACAGCACTGGCAGGTACGCGCCTGTGGGATGGTTAAACAAGGGTGCACAGGGGTGGAAAAGGGTAAAAAATAGGTGGAGAGGGGTGGTGTGGGATGGAGGGAGTGATCGAGTGCACAGGGTGATGGCAGCCCACACGTAGTCATGCACGTGGATGTTCTTAAATACTGCCCCCACCATACCGAAATGGAACAGCACAGGCAGATAGGCGCCTAAAGGGGAGGGGAGAATGGTGGAGAGGGGTGTAGAGGGGTGGCGAGGGGTGGAGAGGGGTGGAGGTGTGTGATAGAGAACACAGAGCGATGGCAGTCCACACGTGGTCATGCACGTGGTTGTTCTTGAACACTGCTCCCACCACTCCAAACTGAAACAGCACAGGCAGGTAGGCGCCTGGTAGAATGGGTTGGAGAGGAGTGGAGAGGGATAGACAGGAATGTGGAGGGGTGGAGAGGGCAGGTATGGTGCACAGAGGGATGGCAGCCCACACGTAGTCGTGCACGTGATCGCTTTGTTTATCTCCTACCGTATGCGCAGCGGCCCATACCCCGCTGCATGTGGTCGCTTGGAATATCGTATGTGCAGCGGCCACAACTATGTGTGCACATATCTCATACCGCATGCGCAGCGGCCCATACCCCGCTGCATGTGGTCGCTTGGAATATCGTATGTGCAGCGGCCACAACTATGTGTGCACATATCTCATACCGCATGCGCAGCGGCCTATACCCCACTGCATGTGGTCGCTTTGCAGATCTCATTGCTGGTGATGTAGGTGAATGCAGGGACCCGCACTAGAGCATACCACACTCCACTGCACCTTACCACCCCACATCACCTCGCACCACACCATCTCGCACCACACCATCTCGCACCACCGTAGATCTCATTGTTGGTTACGTACACATAGCAGCGCACCAGCAGCGGCCCATACCAAGACAGCAGAGGCCAACGATTGGTGATGCAGTGGCAGCAACCAAGGGGTACCATATCGCTCCTCACCACACTACACCACACCCCACACCACCCCACACCACCCCACCCGAACCCAGGACACCAAGTCCACCCACCATAGATCTCAATGTTGGTGACGTAGACATAGCAGCGCACCAGCAGCGGTCCATACCCCACCACACCATACCACATGGCACCATACCACACCGCACCATCGTGTGTATAAATTCTCACCCCTCTTACCATAGATCTCATTGTTGGTGACGTAGACATAGCAGCGCACCAGCAGCGGTCCATACCCCGACAGCATCACTCTCAAGACCCCGTTGCCCCTCTTGAAGTCAGACACTGCCGTCATTTTCATCGAGTCAATGCGGCTGTGCATTGTTCGAATCATGTCCACCCGCCCAAACGTGTAGCCCTGTGGGGGGGGGAGCGGAGAAAGAGCATGGACAGTGGTGGAGCGAAGAGGCAGGGCGGGGAAGGATGACTCTATTGCCCCTCTTCAAGTCGGACATGGTAGTCATCTTCATGCAAACAATGCGGCTGTGCATCGTGCGAATCATATCGACCCGGCCAAACCTGTAGCGCTGGGAAGGGGAGGAGAGAGAGGCAGGGGGAGCAAGGTTACTCCGTTGCTCCACTTGGAGAGCGATACAGCTGCCATCCTCATTGAGTCGATGCAGCTGTGCATGGTGCGAATACGTCCACCCGGCCAAATGTGTAGCCCTGAAGATGGGGGGAAAGAGGGCGAAGTGCCTTCTTGAGTCTCTTTATTCCCCACACTGTTGCCATCCTCCTGCTCTCCATGCGGCTGTGCATTGTGCGCACCCCATGTCCACCCGGTCAAACATGTAGCAGCCCTAGGTTGGTTGGGAGTGGGAGGGGGGGTAATAGGGCAAGAGAAGGGTGAAGGGACGAGGGGATTCAAGAAGGCATGAACGTGTGTGTGCGTGCGCGATGGCATGCGTGCACACGCGGCACACGTGCGTCGAAATCACCTTGGAGATCTGAATGCTGTAGGAGCGATAGATATGCATCAGAATCTCATGCATGAGAGGGCACGCATGCTGATTTGTCTTCCCTGCACCACTATCAGCCTTTGTACTCGCTACTAGCAGACTCACCTTGACAATCTGAATGCCGTAGGAGCGGTAGACGTGGATGAGAGGGCAGATGATGTTTGTGCCCACGTCGGGGATCTCCGGGGGGCATGCCTGTGAGTAGGCTCGGAACGGCTGCGACATCTGTGGGAGGGGGAGAGGGGTGAGGGGATGTGGTGTTGGAAAATGAGAGGAGGGTGTTTGGTGAATGGGCATGCAGGCCAGTAGGCTCGGAACGGCTGTGACATCTGTCAGGGGGGGAGAGGGGTGGGGGGATGTGGTGTGGGAAAATGAGAGGAGGGTGTTTGGTGAATGGGCATGCAGGCCAGTAGGCTCGGAACGGCTGTGACATCTGTGAGGGGGGGAGAGGGGTGGGGGGATGTGGTGTGGGAAAATGAGAGGAGGGTGTTTGGTGAATGGGCATGCAGGCCAGTAGGCTCGGAACGGCTGTGACATCTGTGAGGGGGGGAGAGGGGTGGGGGGATGTGGTGTGGGAAAATGAAAGGAGGGTGTTTGGTGAATGGGCATGCAGGCCAGTAGGCTCGGAACGGCTGTGACATCTGTGAGAGGGGGAGAGGAAAAAGAGAGGGAACAGGGGGAGGGGGAGGGGTTGTGGATGGATGAGAGGGCAGATGATGTCTGTGCCCACGTCAGGGATCTCCGCGGGACATGCCTGTGAGTAGGCTCGGAACGGCTGCGACATCTGCATGTGGGGGAGAGCGTGGGGGTACATTAGAGGGGGGAGGAGAGAGGAGAGGGTGAGATGTAGGATGAGAGGGCAGATGATGCATGTGCCCAAGTCAGGGATCTCTGAGGGGCATGCCTGTGAGTAGGCTCGGAACGGCTGCGACATCTGTGAGAGGGGAGAGGTGGGGAGGGAGGGGAGAGGAGGGACAGGGGGGGATAGGTGCTGCAGTTAGACAAGGAAAAGCTGATGCATGCGAACTCGGGGCATACAGGCGAGTAGGCACAGAACGGCTGTGACATCTGAGAGGGGGAGAGGGGGGTGGGTGTGTGTGAGGATAGGAGAGGAGGATGTGTGGAAAATGGGGCAGTGAGCTGAGTATGCGCGCAAGAGCAGTGCACATCCAGCCGATACCCGCTTCTCTGTTACTCAGATGCCACTGTACAAAGCACCTCAAACACACAGCAGCACCGCTCTAAACCCACCTGGACACGATACAGTATGACGTTGCTTGTGTTCCACATACGCAGTATCGGCTCATCCACCCGATGCACGTACAGCCGATACCCCCTCCCTCTGTTGCCCTACACAGGAACCACTACACACAGCACCTCACGCTGTAGCACTGCCCAGCACCACACAACACCACATAGCACCGCACGGCACCGCTCTCAGCCCACCTGCACGCGGTACACCATAACATTGCTGGTGTTCCATATACGGAGTAACGGCTCATCCACCCAATGCACGTACAGCCCATCGATACCCCCTCCCCCTGTTACCCTACCCAGATACCACTGCACACAGCAGCACTTTCAGCACTGCAGCACACAGCACCACATAGCACCGCTCTCAACCCACCTGCACGCGGTACAGCATAACGTTGCTGGTGTTCCATATACGCAGAATCGGCACATCCACCCAATGCACGTACAGCCGGAACCCTCTCCCTTTGGCCCTGTCTCCCGATCGCAGGATTGTTACAACTGCACACAGCACCTCACGCTGTAGCACTGACCAGCACCACACAACACCACACAGCACCGCATGGTACAGCTCTCCACCCACCTGCACGCGGTGCACGATCACGTTGCTGGTGTTCCATATACGCAGTATCGGCACATCCACCCGATGCACGTACAGCCGGAACCCCCTCCCTTTGGCCCTGTCTCCCGATCGCAGGATTGTGCACGCGTACTTGGGTCCGAACAGCAGCCCTCTCTTGAGAGTGACGTGGTTCTGAAGCTCCAGAATGACTGTCGTGGATGGAAGGTGGTTCCTGCGCTTGATGAAATCTGCCTCCGTGGTGACTCGGATGAGGACTGCTGATGCCAGGGGGGAGCACGCGGATCCTGAAAAGAGAGGGGAGGGAAGCCGAGGGGGGACTTGAGTTGAATGCAGATGAGTCGATCGCAGGATTGTGCACGCGTACTTGGGTCCGAACAGCAGCCCTCGCTTCAGCGTGACGTGGTTTTGGAGTTCCAGGATGACCGTGGTGGATGGAAGGTGGCGCCGGCGCTTGATGAAATCTGCCTCCGTGGTTACTCGGATGAGCACGGCCGAGCTGAGAGGGGAGCACGCCGACCCTGAAAGAGGGGAGAGAGGGGTTGGGGGAAAAAAGGGGGAGGAGGGAGGCGGGATGTAAGTCGACCCGACCCAAACAGCAGCCCTCGCTGCTGCTCAACTCAACCTCAGCACGGTGCTACTCGGAGCATACTTGGTGGGTCCGAAAAGCAGCCCTCGCTTCAGAGTAACGTGGTTCCGAAGCTCCAAAATGACCGTGGTGGAGGGAGGGTAGAGCCTGCGCTTGATGAAATCTGCTTAGCTGGTCACTCGGATGAGCACGGCTGAGCTGAGAGGGGAGCAGGTTTTTGAGAATTCTCAAAAACTTAGCTGGTCACTCGGATGAGCACGGCTGAGCTGAGAGGGGAGCACGCTGATCCTCCTGCAAAATGGGAGGTAGGAAATATGCAGCAGCAGTGGCAATGCAGGGGGTGGGGAGCAGTAGCGCAGCGAAGGGCAAATAGGATAGCCATGGGCTGAAGAGTTTGCGGCTGTGGTGACAATCAATTGAGATGGTGGGGGGTTGTGCCTGTCGCTGAGTCAATTGGCCTACACATACCTGCAGCACATCTGCCTTGTATTGTATGCACCGTGCGAGCATCAGATGAGTCATGAAAGCCTTTACCTGACTGACCTTGCGCCACGTCAGCATTGCATGGCCACTGTTGACCTAATCTCACCTTGCTTTATGCTAGCATTGGCAGCAAAGACAGAAGCAAAGCCAGCAGAGTCAGGCTCGGCAGAAGAGTGCGGCTCGGAAGCAAGTAGCTCTGCAGGTACGGCACTAGCATCCCGCGCCACGGACTCCTCCAACCAGGCCAACATTGCAGGCTCGGACCGAACCTGCTGCTTCAGCCACGGATTCATCCACTCCTGAGGCTCGGCCCATCGCAAAAACTGTGACTGTGCCTGTTCCTGTGCCTGTGCTTGTGCGCGGTGTGACAGTATTGAAGGTGATTCTGACTGCGACTGTACTCTCACAGATCGAGGACCGTCCGTATCGTATCTGAAACCATCCTCGTTAGTGTGTGACCTGGGCGATTCGGTAAAAGCGGTCTTATTTCTATGCCATACAGTACTAGTGCTCTGATGCAGGTGGTACAGCGACGAGTGGCGGGATGGGTCGTGAAACGCGCTCCTGTGGCCTGGGAAAGGGAAGGGCAGGGAGACAGAGGTGTAAAGGAATGAAGAGTAGAGAAAGCATGGAAGTGAGAGGGATTAGCCGAGGGAGAGAGAGGGAACAGCGACGAGTGGCAGGATGGCTCGTGAAACGCGCTCCTGTGGCCTGGGGTAAGGAGAGTTTCAAGAAGGAGAGGTTCAAGACGTCTAAAAAATGGACGTCCCGAAGACAAAGGCGTGAAGGAGTGTCCGGGAGAGAGAGGTTCAGAACGTTACACAATTGGATGGAGGAAAATAAGCAGCAAGTAACCAGGTTAGAACCCACAATCGGATTCGAGTAACACCAGCAACTGACCATTGACCTGGCCTCTCACCTGCACCTGGCCTCTCACCTGCGGCTCGGACGCGCAGCAGGAGCGGCTGTTCAAGACGGACGGAGGAGACGGAGAGCACGGTAACGAGCAGCGCTACTCTGAGAATTAGTGGATTATATCGAAATTTCTCGATATACGCCCGCATGATGATACTACTTGGTGACGAGCCTACTCCACGGCGCGACTCAAGCCGCAGTCCCCGCCTTCTCTGCGGTCTCGTCGTTGTGAAAAGGGGTTGCATCGTTATCTCGCGAACCGGACCTCGGAAATACTTGCTTTCATCGAGAGTTCCTAACTTATCACGTGTGATTCGGCTCAGACGTACCGACGACGGCCTACAGAGAACCTTGCTGAGTTTACGTCCAGCACAGTACTAGTAGCAGCATGCTACGTTATCACGGCCGCCTTCTGCTCGACTAGAGTAAACGGCTATCGATTTTATGAAACCGCGTGGCTGATTTAAGATCGACGAACGTCGTGGTAGAATGAGAGGTATGCTTCACCGTACCGTCGCATTTCCTTGTGGCCTAAATTTCGCGCCTAATTTTCGCTCCTAACATTGATAAAATAAGTCTCCTCTCAGCTGTACTCCAGCGAAAACCGTCGGTCTTTCTTGATCCATGCTGGTGAGACGGTGAGCGCGGTGGTTTTCAACACACACACGAAGAGTACCGTTGGGGTTCGCGCGCCAAACATGCGACACCGTGCAAGAAAGGGAAAGCTGGGATGCTACTGGCCTACTGGAGGCTCGCGCTGGTTCAGGCTGCAAGAATGAGGAGCGAAAATACCGTTCATCCTTCCTTGCTCGGTTGTTGCCACAGGAGAAAACTCCATGTGGGAGAGTGGGTGGGACGAATAGGTTGGGAGGGAGAGTGGTTCGGTTTGGAGGGAATTACAGAGTATGGTCATATCGGACAGTCACAGCCACTTCGCGAGAAGCGCTGTCCATGGCGGCGGTCGGTCAGACAGACGGAACCTTGGGAACCGTCCGGGTAACCTCTGGGTTACCGAGACGGTATTAGGGTTTCGTGCATGAGGGCACACGAGACTGTCGATTGCAGTGCGCGAAAGCGAAGTTTGCTAGTCTGGTCCACGTATGTTGCAAAGCGAAGTGACTTTCGCCTGGTTCTGTTATCGTGAAACGGCTGCCCGCTATTGGCGACTCCACAACTTTCGCCACAGCGAAGCGCGACGTGGTTGTGAGTCACAACTTGTGACATGCCTTGTCGCATCCGTGCGATAATATTTCAATCCAAGTTGCCCCGCCCAGGACCCATTTCTTAAAGCCAGGGTCTCATGTAAGGGTTGGCCGTGCAACTGCAAAGCACTTGGGCGAAACGTGGGCTCTTTGGAGAGTCTCGACTTGTCAAAACTTTGGCCCCAAATTTGTACACCAATTAGACAGGCCCGTTTTTCATCGACTGCAAAGCACTTGGTCACTTGAGACCCTGCCTTTAAAGGACACAACCAGAATTACCGTGTCGGCCCCAAAACTGTCACCACTTTCGTGTGATTGGTCAAAAGTTTTGAGTGGGTTTTTGAAGCGATTGGTTCTCGATTTCCCCACCGAACCTGTCTCTGGGGTTTCCCGAACCTAAAATTTTCTCGTTGACTTCGTTGTGTAATTCGGGGTGTGGCCTTTAAGGACCAGCCGAGCCGCCAGCGGGATATCCTTTTCAGATTCTACACGCTCACCATTCCCTCTAGATCACGCTTCCAGTACTTTGACGATCGAGGGGTCTGCCCTCGGTGCCCAGCTGCGTCGTCGAAACACTGCCGCATATCTTCTTTGAATGCTCCTCCGTCGGAACTGTCATCTCGGCTCTCCGCACAGTCGCTTACCGCCACCTTGGACAAACCACCACCTTCGAGCACATCTTTTTCCCGATACAGTCACGGGTGGGACAGTCCCCCCCATGGAGCCTACTAGTGGGAGCTGCAGTTAAGACGCTGTGGAATGCTCGCTGCGACCAACTCCTCCTCCTCCTCGAGCTTCGAGATACTACAGCTGGTACTAGCCCAATTCCTCATCGCCTTCAAAATTTACATTTGGAGAAGCAGACGCCAATCTACCAAGAAGCGACAACGCACATCCTCCAGCATTAAGCGTTCGCTTCCTCCTCTTCGACAGGAGTGGCACACCCTCTATTCACCCCGATCTCAGAGTCTCATGGCTTCTGGGAAATCCGTTCCGACCCCCGTAGACGACCACCCACAGAGAGCGTCCCCCCAGTTTGCTGGCGGTTGTCCTTAGGACAAAGAAATAACGTGTGTTCCACGTGCTCCTTATAGGATGCTGGCCATCTCGGCCATGTTTCTAGATAGCTCTATGATACTATTCTTTGTACATTGATTACGATCAATATATAACCTTAAAACCGAAATATAAAATAGTGAAGGCCGTCCCATCTTGAAATGGCTGCGATAAGTTCGGCTGATGCAACACTGTTCCAAACAAAACGGTTAGGGTTGTTGAACTCATCTGATTGGCTCACACCAATCCGAAAAAATTGGCTCCCGCCAAAACGATTTTGCACGATCGTTTCAGCCGTCGCATTTTGGCTCGCTACACCCGCACGAACGAAGCCCAGCGATGGTTCCATCGCCACGCCCAACTTCCATTCAAGATGGAACTGGGTGAATGACCACCTGATCTCTGCTCCCGAAGTCACCAGCCTTTGACGAAGCATAGTAGCAAAGCTTTGAGAGCTTAGATGCTTCCCGCCTAGGCACGTAAGTATCGAATTAGCTCGCGCGCGAAATTTAGTAAACGTTGCTTAGTATATTAAACAGTTTTCCCTTCTCGCGCAGCTGTTACCCTACCCTTCACCTGCGCTGCCGTCGCGCTTCGCCCTCCTATGACCCACATCGTCACCGTCGTGCTCGATATATACTGCCCTCCCGTCACCCTTTCTCTCTCCATCTCACATCACCTACCTCGTCGTCGTCACGCGCGCCACATATCGCCCTCCCTTCGCCCTTATTTTCTCCCTTCGCGCCACCCACCCCGTCGCCCTCTCAATCGGCCCAAATCGTCTGTTTCGCTCTCGTTATTCCCTCCGATCACGTTGGTATCGTACACTCCCCTCTCGTCTTCTCTCTCTCAGGACCTCCCTCGCATCCCTTCCCCTCGGTAGCACTGTCCCCTTTCCCTTTCCTTTCCCTTTCACGTTCTCCCGTCCCCTCGCCATCTCTTTTTCCTTCCCGTCGCCCTCCCCTCGTCCTGTCCGCTCGCCCATGACATCTCCTCTCATCCCTTCCCCTCGCCCTCACGCTCCCTTTCAGATCGGTCGCCCTCCGTTTCAGATCGCCCTCGCGATCTCCTCTCCTATCGCAGCTCTTTTCCTCCCTTTCTTCACTCTTTTCCCTTTCCGTCGCGCTCACGTTCTCCCCTACGTTCAGTCTTCCTGCTCTTCTCCTCTCCCCTCCCGTCACCCTTCCTCTCTCCCCTGCCCTCCCGCCGCCATCGCTATCCCCGCTCACCCCATCCTGTCGTTCCTCCCCTCTCCCCTCCCCTCCCTTCGCCCCCCATGTCGCCACTCCCTTCCCTTCGCCTTCACTGTCGACCAATCAACCGTTTCGACACAACACCCTTCCTCTCTCCCCATCGCAATCGTTATCTCCGTTCACATCACATTGTTCAGTATATTTTTCCCCCTCGTTATTTTTTCTCCACTCCCTCCTCTAAGACATTTTAGAGCCTCAAATCCAAGGGAACATTTTTCTCGCAGCTTTGCTAGCTTGTCAGAAGACCTTGGCGGCCTTCCACTATCATCTGTGTGTGCATATTTCTGTGCGTTGGATTTCGCCTGTGCTGACTGATGCTTGATGTGTATTTTGGTGAAGTTACGAAGACCCCCCTTTGTTGTTAGAGCATTGCAATCTTGCGCCAAATTCGCACACGAATGTGGGTAAAAGTCGCCACCAATCAGAATTGTGAACAAGTTCCAGATGTTCCCTTCCAACTCGAGACTCGCATGATTTGGAAAAAAAAAAAACACGCACAGCACTTCAGCTTTTAAAAAACGTTCCAAACAAACTTGTGTTTTCAAGTGGACCCAACTAGAAGGGGGGTTCACTATTTTAGCTGCTGGCTTTAACCTTAACCAAGTTGCCCAGCCCAGTTGCAGCGCCCCACGCTTTCCCCACAAGAACGGTTCACGAACGTGTACTGTACACGAAAGCGCAGCGCCTGGTGTGCTCATACTGTATCGAATCGTTCCAGCAAACCGCCAAGCGTGCCCAAAGGAATCCCATCCCATCCCACCGAATTCTGCCCGAGCTGGAGGGAACCACGACGAACCGACCACCACCACAGGGGTGGTGGTGGCGGAAGCGGTCACCGCGGTGTGCTGGTTTACCTCCCCCGAGTCATCGCCCAGAAGAGGGTTCCGAGATTCGGTTTTAGCAGAATGAACCATTTTCTGTGTTACACCTACAGCAAGTAAAACGGTGGCACAAATAGAACTATTCTAGCAGTGATAGGCGCTGCATGTTTCTTCCCTTGACAGCTGGAACTTTCTTCGCCCTAAATGAAAGAGAGTATAGAGCCACATAGTCATCTGGTGCCTATGGCAGCCGTGGGAACTTGGAGAAATCTGGCGCACGCCCGCTCAAATACGACTCGCGGCCTTCCACTGCTTCCGGAGTGTTGTAGAAAATCAGTGTTGCATTTCCAGCCAACTCCTGCTCATGGGAAAATGCGGAGCATTGGAGAGAAAGAAAGCTTTTAACACAACAAAGCCACGTGGCACATGACATGTTATTCGCATGGTATGCACATCGGACATACACTGCACGACGCGCCATCAAAATGCAATGCACGCAAGCATGCTACAAATGTTTTACTCCACCTTCAAGCCAACAGTTCTGTGAGAGAGATGCTCCACATTGTAGCACATGGCAAAATGCATACAGTCTGCATTGATTGCCGACTTGAGAGCAACCTCAGGGCCATGTGGTCAGTAACCATGGCACCATGCTGTGTTACAAATGACACACAACACATCATGCACCATGGCACGCGTATCTCAACTTACCTGCAAGCCACCAGTGCCATCATCCACCGCATTTATCGCCAACTTGAGCACTCTCAGCACTGTGGGGCTGCTCCTACATCCCATGGACACACTACACGCTGTGTGCAAGCCAGCACAGGCACACCACCCACTCATCACCCACAACCCACCTGCAAGCCAGCAGTGCCATCATCCACGGCATTGATGGCCGACTTGAGTACTCTCATGAGCATGGAGCTGTTCCTTCATTCCCTAGACACATTACATTAAACGCTTTGTGCAAGCCACCACATGACACACTACTCACACATCACCCACAGCTCACCTGCAAGCCAGCAGTGCCATCATCCACGGCATTGATGGCCGACTTGAGTACTCTCATGAGCATGGAGCTGTTCCTTCATTCCCTAGACACATTACATTAAACGCTTTGTGCAAGCCACCACATGACACACTACTCACACATCACCCACAGCTCACCTGCAAGCCAGCAGTGCCATCATCCACGGCATTGATCGCCGATTTGAGCACCCTCAGCGCTGTGGGGCTGTTCCTTCATCCCATAGACGCATTACATGCTGTGTGCAAGCCAGCACAGGTACACCACCCACACATGCATGTCAGCCCACCTGCAAGCCAGCGGTGCCATCATCCACGGCATTGATTGCCGACTTGAGCACCCTCAGCGCTGTGGGGCTGTTCCTCAGAATCTCCCTACACCACTTCACTGTCTCCTGCTCAAGATTCGCCAGCTGACGATTCACATGTGGGGAGGAGAGACAATGAAAAGGGACAAACGTGAGCACCCTCAGCGCTGTGGGGCTGTTCCTCAAAATTTCCCGACACCACTTCACCGTCTCCTGCTCAAGAGTCAACAGCTGACAATCCAGATTGAGCACGAGATAAGAGGACGTAATATACAGGGAGGACAGCACTCACCGGAACAACTGTGTTGATGAGTCCCATGTCAAGAGCTTGCGCTGCCGTGTAGTGCCTGGCGAGGAACCAGATCTCCCTCGCCTTCCTTTAAGACACACCAATAGGCACGCCAACAGTACACTCACCGGACAAGTAACACTCACGGGAACAACGGTGTTAATCAGCCCGTTCAGGCCGCTCAGGCCCCATATCGAGCGCCTGAGCGGCTGTGTAGTGCTTGGCGAGGAACCAGATCTCCCTCGCCTTCTTGGGTGTTCGCAACACCTATGCTACACACCAGCAGCACTCACCGGCACAACAGTGTTGATGAGTCCCATGTCGAGTGCCTGTGCTGCCGTGTAGTGCCTGGCCAGGAACCAGATCTCCCTCGCCTTCTTGGGACCCACAAGGCGAGACATGATAGAGCTGCCGTAGCCTGCATCAAAGCTGCCCACCTAGTGGGGCGAGGGATAACAGAGAAGGTGTCTAACAATGATATTTCTTGTGAGTAGAGCCTAGGTGAGGGTTACAGTGATGAGCACGAGGCGAGACATGATGGAGCAGCCATAGCCCGCATCGAAGCTGCCGATCTGGGCGTGAGCAGTTACAGTAGCGGGGAATGAGGGAGACAAACATAGGCATAGGGAGAAGGGTATCAAGCACAGTGCAAGTCACCAGGCGAGACATGATGGGGCAGCCGTAGCCCACATCAAAGCTGCCGACCTGGGCGTGAGCAATTACAGTAGCGGGGAATGAGGGACAGAGCATTGGTCAGGAGGGAGAGCCATCTTGTGGCCCACGAGGCTAGACATGATGGGAGAGCTGTAACATGCATCTAAGCTGCCAACCTGGGAGGGGCGTAGTGGGAGGCTCCATGCCTACACATGGTAGCGCCATGCCTCTGTGGGGTTGCTTTGCTTTTGTCCCCCCTCACCTTGGGGCCTGTCTGGCCGAACACAGCGTTGTCAGCAGCGATGGTGATGTCACACACCAGATGCAGCACATGCACTCATGCTCTCCCCCTATTGTGTACCCTTTTGCCCCTGCCCCACCTTCAGCCTCTGCCTCCTCCTCACCTTAGGCCCTGTCTGGCCAAACACAGCGTTGTCAGCAGCAATGGTGATGTCACACACCAGATGCAACACGTGGCCTCCGCCTATGGCGTACCCTGCCACCTGTTGGGGGACAGGCAGGCATAAAGCGGTACAGAACGGTGTTGAACAGCATGAAGACCAGAACCACTGCATGGTTCAGAGACTGATGTATGCTCTAACTGAACGATGAACACACCAGATGCAGCACATGCAGTTCGCTATGTAGGGCTTAATCTCACATGCAGCCTCTTACCATTTAGGCTCCCCCAGAAGAGGCTTACCATGGCAATGACTGGCTTGGGAGTTCGCCGGATTTGAACCTGCAGACACAGGAGTGGCAGAGGGGAAAAGGGTGACGATGGAAAGAGGAAGAGCGGGGAGAGGAAGGAATGCAATCCTCAATATGAGCCATTTGGGGAGGGTAAGAAGAAAAGAAGGAGGTTGAAGGCAATGACAGCTTTAATTAACTGATTGTCTCCTCCTCCGACCTCCTCCCACACCCCCCTCCTCCTTCCCCTTAATGACTTCCGTCTAACACACACCTGCAGGTCGAGCACGTTGAGGCGAGGCACCTGGTCGCCCCTCACACGCACATGCACACACTGGTAACCTGCCCCCCTCTACACCACACTGGCACTCAACACACACCTGCAGGTCCAGCACGTTGAGGCGAGGCACCTGGTCGCCTCCCACGTATCCGTGCTTGCCCCTCACGGCCTGATCGCCCCCGCTGCAGAATGACAGATCGCCCTGAGAGAGACGAAGAGAGAGGAAGAGAGAGGGATAGTGCGGAAGAGTATATGGGCGTGGGAAGTTGGATAGGAATGAGATTTTTCTCTCTTCTCGAACCAACTCCAGATTTGCCCTTCACATCCACCCTTCGGCACAATGAATTTGTACCAGTCATGCCTTTGTAACTGATTCATCAACGCCATGACAGTAAGCAGTCCCCAGGAATTCATCTATCATGCCATTCAGCACGCCAAACTATAGTAGGTGTGAGACAATGGTCACTTGCGTTTAAATTTCACGTCCAACGCTGATGGCATAGCCACTCTTGAAAGATTCGCCTGGTGTTAGCATCTCTCCTTGCCTGTGTTAAGATCTCACCTTGCCTGTGAAGATGATTACGCCAACGGTCACATCGTCTCTCGCAGCATCGAACGCGCGCTTCAGCTCCTTCACCGTCTCCGGCCGGAACGCGTTCCTCCTCTCGGGCCGGTTGATCGTGATCTGACGGTCAGGATTGCGGGAGGGGGTTGAGGTGGCTATCAGGCAATCTTCGTAGTTCGACAATGGACGATTCGTTTCTTTATAATATCCACTGTGGCACAGCCTTCACGAATTCGCGTCCCCTCATATACAGTTTTCCAAAGGAGTCAGCATAACGGTTATACCTTGGCGATCCCCTCTCCAACGGCTGTTTCGTAAAGCACGTCTTGGAGCGGAGGCCCCTCGATGCGACCCGGTTGCCACACTACCGGCGCGCTCGACACTTCGCCGTGCATTAACGCATACTTAGAAGGCTTTCCTGTGGCTGAAGCATACACGCCGGTCGCGCCGCTGCGATCGCTGCTGTTACTGCAGGGTTGCAGGTTCAACTGGGACTCGTTGTAAGCAGCCTCGTTATTGGTGGTTTCTGGAGGGGTCGAATAGGCGGGTGCGATATGGCGACCGTAAACCTGAAGTCGTCGCAGCGCTTGATCGCGATCCATTGCTCCGTCGAGGCTGAACCTAGCAGCCGCAGGGGAAATAACGTGCAATGCGATCAAAATGGAGCAGAAGCAAATGAATTCTGCAGCGTATGAGTTTCAGGCAAACACGGAATGTTTGGCTGCTTTGGCAAGGTGCAAAGGAAATCTGCGAGGACGACTTTCTGGATAAGGTCGGTTGCTCGTTGGATAAAGGATTCAAAGTCAGGAGATTTTCGAGGGGAACCAGATCGGTTTATCACGGTCCTTAAGACTTCTAAAAGTTTTTTGTTCGGTTGTTTTGCTAGGTTGTGAAAATGGTTGAGATTGGTCGAACTCTAATTGGGACAGAACTGTTGTCAGGGAGACGCGAGCGGAGGCGCACTGTAACCCTCTTCCTAGATTCTGGGCCAGAAGGGTCTTCTGCGCTTGGGACCACAATTTCCCGTACCCTCTAAGTACTAACGCGCTTCAACTTGGAGTGAGAAAATTACCAGCTCGAGCGTGCAAGAAAATTAATGAAAGCATATTGAAATATTTTGTTTTATTCTCGTTTTTTGGATGATGCATTTCACTATAAAGCGAGTACATCCACAGTCGTAACAAGCGAGTTCCCTGTTTTTCTTCCTCCTATCATTTTTCCCCTATTCCCCTCCTTCTTTCTTCCTCTCTCCTTTTTTCTACTCACGTTATTCCTCCTTTTCTCCTCTCTTCCCGTTTCCACTCCTTTTCCTTGCGTAATTATGCTACATTGTAATAGATAGTTAGTCGTAACTAGCATAGTGAACTCAATTTACTCTCTTTATAAATCATCTCGGTTTCCCTTATGTCTTCTCATTCATAGGCGTGGTCATTTGCTGGATCAGGCCTGCTCCCCCTTGAAGTCAGTTTCGAAACGAGTTTAGACCCGTAGGTGGGTTTCAGAACATTGTAGCGTGGCTGCAGTGCGGTGGCGAGTCGATCTGAAGCTTTGAATCTCTAGATTGCATCGCGCATTTCCATTCAAATCCAACGGCTACTTGCAGCCCAGCCTTTGCGGTTGTCAGGGACACCGACTAATCGCGCGCGCAAGTCCGGCAATCTAGCCGCAGCCATTGCCGGTTGAGACTTACTGTTCAAACCCGTTATCATGCACAGACCCTGAGTTTTATGCACTAAAGCAAGATCTTTCGAACGCTCTTGGACGACTCGATCTGTTTAAAAGCGTATTCTGATTTAGCAGAAGCGTTGAGCCGAGGATTTGAGCATCGCTGAGCACTGTTGAGCAGCCATGGCGGATTTGAATCAGGAGTCGCTGCTCGCGCACAAGCGCACGTTTATGGAGTTCCTCGACCCCGAGGTGCGAAACTGTTACTGTCGCTGTTACGCCAATATAGCGAGCCGTTTTAAAACGAGTTTAAGTTGATGAAGTTTTTCGACCCCCAGGTTCGTGCAAGGTTGCGATGCGTGTGCCAAATTCTTTTTAAGATGTCTCATTATGCGCAATGGGTAGTCTTTGTGAAGTTCCCCGGTCTCTATGGTCATTGCCGTCGACCGTTAGTGTTCAAGCCACAAGCTTCATCCTAGCCCCTACCGTACTATCACGTTCCCCTCTTCCCCCCACAACCCCCTTTCAACTGCCCCTCCTTCTGTTATCCCCGGCCCATTCTCCCTTCAGAGTCCCAAGTCTCGCTACATGCAGCGAATCAACGCAATGGTGGACGCGGGCAAGCACCGCCTCCTCCCCTCACCACTGTTGCCACCCAACCCCTCGTCCCCTCTCTCCTTTCTCCTTCTCTATTCCCCCTCCTCCAGAACCCCAAGTCGCGCTACATGCAGCGAATCAACGCCATGGTGGACGCGGGCAAGCACCGCCTCCTCATTGACCTCTCGGACCTCCGATCCTTCGACCCGCACCTCGCGCGCAGGTACGGTTGTTTGACGGACCTGGCGTACAGGCTCGGGTGAGAGCTATTGCATTGTGCAGGGTTGTTTGCCAATTTCTTTCTGAGAAAGGATAGAATGTTTCAGATTTACTCGGTTGAATGTTTCTCGCAGCGGCATGCTACACTTGCTCAATCTCACCACGTTCACAATCCGTCTGTGAGTGGTGAAGATAGAATCAATTTGTAGGATCAACTACTTCCCTTCTCTCCTCTACTTTCCACCCCTTCTCCCAGGCTCATCCGCACGCCAGGGGAGCTCTACCCAGCATTAGTAAGCGCAGTGGACGATGCAGTGAAGCTGGCGCACCCCAAGCACCTGCTCTATTCTGCAGCAACAGCTCCCATCCCCCCTCCCCCTCCCCCCCCGCCTCCCTCCCAGGCTCATCCGCACGCCAGGGGAGCTTTATCCGGCTTTAGTCAGTGCAGTGGAGGATGCAGTGAAGCTGGCGCACCCCAAGCACCTGCTTGAGTCCGCACCCACAGCCAAAGTGCGCATCCCCCTCCCACCCTCCCCAGGCTCATCCGCACGCCAGGGGAGCTCTACCCAGCACTAGTGAGCGCAGTGGAGGACGCAGTGAAGCTGGCGCACCCCAAGCACCTGCTCGAGTCGGCAGCCACGGGCGTGGGGGGAGGCGAAGTGAGCGTGGGGTTTGAGGGTCCCTTTGGGTTCCACCAGGTGTCGCCCCGCGAGCTGCTCTCGCCCTTCCTCAACTCGCTCGTCTGTGTGCACGGGATTGTTACCAAGTGTGAGTGTGGTTATTGCTGTTTATGGTGGTTACCAGTACGTGTGAGCTACTCTCGCCCTTCCTCAACTCGCTCGTCTGCGTGCATGGGATTGTGACCAAGTGTGAGTGCTGTGCAGTTACCACCAGTGCGTGAGTGAGTTTATCACAGTATATGGCACAGGTAGGTTACCAGTATGCGTGAGCTGCTCTCGCCCTTCCTCAACTCGCTCGTCTGCGTGCAGGGAATTGTCACCAAGTGTGAGTGCGGTTACCAGTGCGTGTGTGGGTTTGCTGGTGTATCATGTGCGGTTACCAGTGCGTAACTGGGGTTGCTGGTGTATGGTGTGCGGTTACCATTGTGAATAGAAGTCGCAGTGCGCATGGCACACCCCAAGCACCTGCTCGAGTCTCAGTTATCCTTTATCGTCCTTCCTCCCTGCTCTCCCCTCCCCAGGCTCCTCCGTGCGCCCCAAGGTGGTCCGCAGTGTGCACTACTGCCCTGCTACAGGGGCCTTCTCCTCGTGGCCTGCCCCACACTTACCCTTTCCCGCATCCTTCTCCTCCCCCTTTTCCCTTCCCGACTCCCCCCACTCCAGGCTCCTCCGTGCGCCCCAAGGTGGTCCGCAGTGTGCACTACTGCCCTGCTACAGGGGCCTTCTCCTCCCGGGAGTACCGAGACGTCACGGCACTCACTGGCCTGCCCACGCCCGCCATCTACCCCACCAAGGTGGGTGTTGCTGAGTCTATGGCAGCTGCATTGAGGTGACTTTGTTGCGAGGGGTGACTTTGCCACGGGGGCATTTTCCTCTTGGGAGTACCGAGACGTCACGGCACTCACTGGCCTGCCCACGCCCGCCATCTATCCAACGAAGGCGCGTTCTGCTGCATGCGCTAGTCAAGAGACAGGGGCAACATCCTAGTAACAGAGTTCAGTCTGTGCTGGTACCGCGACCACCAGGCGATGGCGATGCAGGAGATGCCTGAGAACGCCCCCGCAGGGCAGCTGCCTTGACACATTCTGCATGCGCCCTCCCCTCTTCACACCACACCACACCAGGACGACAAGGGCAACATCCTAGTCACCAGGACGACAAGGGCAACATCCTAGTCACCAGGACGACAAGGGCAACATCCTAGTCACCAGGACGACAAGGGCAACATCCTAGTCACCAGGACGACAAGGGCAACATCCTAGTCACCAGGACGACAAGGGCAACATCCTAGTCACCAGGACGACAAGGGCAACATCCTAGTCACCAGGACGACAAGGGCAACATCCTAGTCACCAGGACGACAAGGGCAACATCCTAGTCACCAGGACGACAAGGGCAACATCCTAGTCACCAGGACGACAAGGGCAACATCCTAGTCACCAGGACGACAAGGGCAACATCCTAGTCACCAGGACGACAAGGGCAACATCCTAGTCACCAGGACGACAAGGGCAACATCCTAGTCACCAGGACGACAAGGACAACATCCTAGTCACCAGGACGACAAGGACAACATCCTAGTCACCAGGACGACAAGGGCAACATCCTAGTCACCAGGACGACAAGGGCAACATCCTAGTCACCAGGACGACAAGGACAACATCCTAGTCACCAGGACGACAAGGACAACATCCTAGTCACCAGGACGACAAGGGCAACATCCTAGTCACCAGGACGACAAGGACACCACATTCTGCATTCTGCATGCGCCCTTCTCTCCTCACACCACACCAGGACGATAAGGGCAACATTCTAGTAACCGAGTTCGGTCTGTGCCGCTATCGTGACCACCAGGCCATGGCGATGCAGGAGATGCCTGAGAACGCCCCGGCAGAGCAGCTGCCACGGTCGCTGGATGTGCTTTTGGAGGATGACCTGGTGGATGCCTGCAAGCCGGGGAATGTTGGTGGTTGGGCTGCAAGGAACGCCTGATCTCTCCTCTGCTTGCTCTTCCTCCTTCCCTTGGACCCGTCCCTGCCGTACAGGACGACAAAGGCAACATTTTAGTTACAGAATTCGGTCTGTGTCGCTACCGCGACCACCAGGCCATGGCGATGCAGGAGATGCCTGAGAACGCCCCGGCAGGGCAGCTGCCGCGGTCGCTGGACGTGCTGTTGGAGGATGACCTGGTGGATGCCTGCAAGCCGGGGGACCGCGTGGCCATAGTGGGCATCTACAAGGCTGCTCCCATGCGCGCCACTGGCACCATCAGCGGCACCTTCAGGTGGGTCTCATGGAGTGGTGGGGGAGGGGGTTAGAGGTGGGGGGACGGATGAGGGGATAGGATCAAGGTCGGATGCGTGGATGGTGGTGGTTGCTGAGGGCACGGGCAGCAAGGGCATTGACAGCCAGGGTACCACTCACCTCTTCTCTCCCTGGCCCCACCTCAGAACCGTACTGGTGGCATGGCATGTAATGTGACACCAATGATTACAGCGGCATACGTGAGGGCAGTGCGGGCGCTGGCAGCATGGACGGGTGCATTGGGTGATGGTGGGGAGTCCCTGGCTCCCTTTACTCCACTCATTGCCTGCTCTCTCTCTCTCTCTCTCTCTCTCTCTCTCTCTCTCTCTCTCTCTCTCTCTCTCTCTCTCTCTCTCTCTCTCTCTCTCTCTCTCTCCCTGCCTCCCCGTCCCCACCATACTTCCAGGATGGTGCTGGTGGCGTGCAGTTAAGCAAGGATGCCATAGCGTCCCGCATGACAGCAGCAGACGTGAGGGCAGTGCGGGCGCTGGCAGCACGGTCGGACGCGTGGGGGGTGGTGGGGGAGTCCCTATTCCCACTCTACTCATCGCCCTGCTCCATGCCTCCCCGCCCCATCCCCCTGCCTCCAAACCCCTTCTCCCTTCCTCCCCATCCTCACCACCCTTTCAGAACCGTTCTCGTGGCATGCAATGTGATGCAGCTGAGTAAAGACGCGGTTGCCCCCCGCATGACAGCAGCAGACGTGAGGGCAGTGAGGGCGCTGGCAGCGCGGTCGGACGCGTGGGGGGTGGTGGGGGAGTCGTTAGCTCCCTCCATCTGTGGGCACGCGTGGGTCAAGAAGGCCCTGGCGCTGCTGCTGCTGGGGGGGGTTGAGAAGAACCTGCCTAATGGCACGCACATAAGAGGGTGAGACTGGGTGTAGGCATATGGGCATCATTGGCGACTTTTGTATTTTCCATGAGTGAGTGGGTGATGTGAGTGTGTAGCAAGTCGCATGCTTACATGCAAACGCACACACCTCGTCCTCGTCCCCCATCCCTCGTTCCTCCTCCTCCCCCTGCAGCGACATCAACATGCTAATGATGGGCGATCCCCTGGTCGCCAAGTCGCTGCACGCAAGTGTTGCCATGCCTCCCCATACACCCATACACACACACCCCCACACACCCCCATACACCCATGCACACACACACCCACACACGCACACCGTCCCTCCCATGCAGCGACATCAACATGCTAATGGTGGGCGATCCCTCGGTCGCCAAGTCACAGCACCCAAGTGCAGCCGCGGCCCCTCCGCTCCCCGCCCCCTTTGTTCCCTTACCCCCTTGTCGCAGCGACATCAACATGCTAATGGTGGGTGATCCCTCGGTCGCCAAGTCACAACTCCCGAGTGCTGGCATGTCCCCCTCCCCTTCCTCCCCCCTCTCCCCCCCTCCCTCTTTTCCCCTCACAGCGACATCAACATGCTCATGATGGGCGATCCCTCGGTCGCCAAGTTGCATCACGCAAGTGTTGCCATGCCTCCCCATACACCCATGCACACACCCCCCCACACACCCACACACACCTATCCATCCCTCCCTCACAGCGACATTAACATGCTCATGATGGGCGATCCCTCGGTCGCCAAGTCGCAGTTTCTTCGAGCCGTCATGCACGCAGCCCCCCTCGCCATCTCCACCAATGGGCGCGGTTCTTCAGGAGTCGGGCTCACTGCTGCCGTCACCACCGACCAGGAGACAGGTGGGCTTGTATTGCATGCCTGTAACGAGGGTCCTATAGCGGTGAGCCGTCATGCACGCCGCCCCCCTCGCCATCTCCACCAATGAACGAGGCTCGTCTGGTGTTGGTCTCACTGCTGCTGTCACCACCGACCAGGAGACAGGTGGGATTGGTGTGAGCAGGACACTGGTATGAGCTCCTAACCCTGTAGCGCCTCTCTCACCTTTACCTGCTTGCTCTCTCTCCTCCCTTCCTCTCACCTCCATGCAAGAGGCGGCTGGAAGCAGGTGCTTATGTTGCTGGAAGACAGGGGATTGATGTGCATTGATTGACTCTCTCCCTTTCGTTTCACGCCTCTCCAGGTGAAAGGAGGCTGGAGGCAGGAGCGATGGTGCTGGCGGACAGGGGAGTGGTGTGCATTGATTGATGAGTCACGACTCACATACTGCTACTAACCCTGTCGCCTCTCTCCCTTCCCACACCTCTCCAGGTGAAAGGAGGCTGGAGGCAGGAGCGATGGTGCTAGCAGATAGGGGCGTGGTGTGCATTGATGAGTTTGACAAGATGAGCGATGCCGACCGCGTTGCCATCCATGAGGTGAGTGTGATGACATTGGTTGGCTATAGACGAGATGGGAGGGGGTGGGATGAGGCCGGCCAAGTTAATATGGGATGGGATGGGATGGATGGATGGATGGATGGATGGATGGATGGATGGATGCTCGATTCAAGCTCACAATGCTGGTCCATTCTTAGCAGACAGGGGCGTGGTGTGCATCGATGAGTTTGACAAGATGAGTGACCCTGACCGCGTTGCCATCCATGAGGTGAGTGTGATGACATTGGTTGGCATGGTGTGGCATGGGGTGGCATGGCATTGTACGGAATGACACTGTTAGCTCATGCTAACTCATTCACTAATCTACTCATTCAATCGCACACACACTCATACACGCTGCTCTCGCTGTCGCCCCGAAGGCGATGGGGATGCGTGGCGATTGCCATCATCTGCAACTAGCAGAAACGGAGGGAAAACTCACATGCATGTGCGCTGATGTTGCAGGTGCTAGTTGCAACTAGCAGCAGACGGTGTCGATCGCCAAGCCAGGGGTTCCCGTGTCTTGCAACACCATCCCTCTCACACGTTATGTGCACTGCTGCTCATGCTTGAAACGCTTTTACCCTTTTTGCTTGCTGCTTTCCCTCTGTTCCCCGATCCACCAACTTCCACCAGGTGATGGAGCAGCAGACAGTCACCATCGCCAAGGCGGGCATTCATGCCTCACTCAATGCTCGCTGCAGCGTTGTTGCTGCCGCCAACCCAATCTACGGATCCGTGAGTGATGCTCCTGTATCCGCCCTCTGTACACTCATTCTTTGACTCTACCTGTTACATTGGCCTGCCCGACTGCTGCTCTCCCACTCTGTTGGCCATGCTGCTCTGCTCAATCACACTCCGTTTCCCCACATCAACCCCTCCTCCCCCTCGTCATCTTCTTCCCCACCATCCACCACCCTTTGTACCCACCCTTCCCTCCTGTACAACCACTCCATCAGTCCCATGCGCAACATCGGCCTGCCTGACTCGCTGCTCTCCCTACCTTCTGCTAGTTCTGTGCCACCATTCACTCCCTTCCCCTGCCTCCCTCACCCACACCCCCCCCCCCCCTCCTTTCCCCAGTACGACCACTCCATCAGCCCCATGCGCAACATCGGTCTGCCCGACTCGCTGCTCTCCCAATTCGATCTGCTCTTCATCCTCGTCGATCAGATGGATGCTGTGCTGACCACCACTCCATCTCCCCCATGCTTTCTTCAGCCCTCCCCACGCCTTATTTGCTGCTGCCCCCCTGCCCGCCACCTTTCCCCTCTCTATCCCCATCCCCTCCACCTACCACCCCCCCCCCCCCCCACCCCACCTCCCCCTTTCCCCCAGTACGACCACTCCATCAGCCCCATGCGCAACATCGGCCTGCCCGACTCGCTGCTCTCCCGATTCGATTTGCTCTTCATCCTCGTGGATCAGATGGATGCTGACGTGGACACCCGCATAGCCAATCACGTGCTGCGCATGCACCGCTACCGCCTGCCGGGCGATGATGGCAGTAAGCTGCTCCTTTCGCCCTTTCTACCTGCTCTCCTCGTTGGCTGGTGCTCATAGCTACTTGCTCTCTGGCTTTGACGCACCTCATCCTGCCAGCCTAGCCAATCACGTGCTGCGAATGCACCGCTACCGCCTGCCTGGCGACGATGGCAGTAAGCTGCTCTTCATGCTTTCTCTCACATCTCTCTTGCATGTGGCCGCCTCATCCTGCCAGCCTAGCCAATCACGTGCTGCCAATCACCCCCTGTTTCCCCTTTCTTCCCCACTTTTTCCCCCTTGTCCCCTCTTTTCCCCCCTTTTCCCCCCTAACCCTCTTTCCCCCCATCAGCGCTAGCGCCAGGGGATATACCCATGGCAGCACATGCAGACGAGGAGGACGAGGAGGAAGAGGGGGGAGACGCGGACGGCCCAGATGCTTCCGCTGCTGCGATGGACGGTGAAGATGATGCCACTCCTGCCACTAGCCGACCTAGGACCAGGAGTGGGGGTAGAGGAGGGGATGGGGGTGGTGGGAGTGGGGGAAGGGGAGGGGGCAGTAGTGGCGCAGCTGATTTGGCGGCGAACTTAGTTAAGTACGATCGCTTACTGCACGGCGAGAGGAAGGCGGGGGAGCCTATAAGGAAGATACTTAAGAAACGGTTTCTGAAGAAGTTTTTCCACTTTGCCCGCGGCCGCAGCCCTGTGCTCTCCAATCGGGTAAGAGACCGTTTTTCTTCATGTCTCATGACTGGATTTTGGTTAACGTTTTGGGTAACGCAAACAAAGGACATCGTTCCCAGCCTATTTTTAGGGCGTTTTAGAAGTTGTAGACATTGCAACGTTTTAGAAGTCACGCAGTCTTTGTATTTTAGGCATGTCAGTAACACCTTCCCCCCTACCGATCCTCAATCTCTCCCACAATCTCCAAATCTGCTCTCCCTCCTTGTCCCTTCTGCTGCCTTCCAGGCGGCAGAGAAGATAGCACAGGCGTATGCAGAGATGAGGGCACATGGCATGGACGCGAGGAGGCGGGTGAGTTGAGCTGTGAGGCGCTTTGAGGTGCTTTTAAGGGCATCGTGTGCGATACTTACAGGAGGTTTGACGTGGTTTTTCATGAGAAGATAGTACAGGCTCCAGGACCACAGTTTTATGCATAGCTGAGGGTTCAGGGCATGGACGCGAGGCAGAGGGTGAGTGGAGCTGTGAGTCCATTTTTGATATCTGGTGCGTGGTGTTGTGAGGCATGTCCCTGATTGTCCCTATTTTCTTAGCTCCTTTCACCCCTCCCACACTCACCCACTCACCCCCCAGGCGGACCAAGGAACCCTCCCTGTGACTGCCCGCTCTCTTGAAACCATGATTCGCCTGTCCACGGCACATGCCAAGCTGAAGCTGCGGCGCGAGGTGGGTCTGGTAGGGGGGTAGGTTGGGTTTTGTGAGGGTGGGAGTGGTAGGACTGTTGTTAGGGAGCAAGCCTCGAGACCATGATTCGCCTGTCCACGGCACACGCCAAGCTGAAGCTGCGGCGAGAGGTGAGTGTTGCGAGTTCGGGCCATTAACAGGCGTGCAGTAGGCCTGTTAAGAGGGAGAGAAGGTGGGGATAAGCTGTTCTATGAGTTGCCTCAGTCTCCTTGCTCAGCTTCCCGCGCCTCCCCTTGCACCCCTCCAGGTGTACGAGTGAAAGGTGGTAGCGGTCTTTTGAGTCGACTCAAAAGTCACCCTTGCACCCTTCCAGGTATTGGAGTCAGACGTGGCAGCAGCACTAAGCCTCCTTGGCTTTGCTCTGTACCACTGCGAGCTGGTCGAGACGGACAAGAGGATGGAGGAGGAGCAACGACAGTGGTTGTGATCCAGCAGTGCCTCTTTTTCCTTGTCCTACTTACCCTTCCAGGTATTGGAGTCAGATGTGGCAGCGGCGTTAAGCCTGCTGGACTTTGCTCTGTACCACCGCGAGCTGGATGAGAGTCTCATGAGACGGACAAGCGGATGGAGGAGGAGCTGCAGCGCGTGTAATCAAATGCTTTTCCCCCTTGCTCCTACTTCCCATCACTGCCTAACCCCCCTTCCAGGTCCTGGAATCGGATGTAGCAGCAGCATTGAGCCTCTTGGACTTTGCGCTCTATCATCGCGAGCTGGATGAGATGGACAAGCGGATGGAGGAGGAGAGACAGCGCGTGGAATCTGATGCTAGTTCTCCTTGTTCCTCCTTCCCGGCCCTGCCCAACTTTTTCCCCTCTAGGTTCTGGAATCGGATGTAGCAGCAGCGTTGAGCCTCTTAGACTTTGCTCTGTACCACCGCGAGCTGGATGAGACGGACAAGCGGATGGAGGAGGCTGGGCTACCCCCACCCCTCCCCACCCCTCCTCAACCCTCCCCACCGCTCCCCACCCCTCCCCAACCTTCCCCACTCCTTGCCTCTTTTAGGTTCTGGAATCAGATGAGCAGCAACACTAAGCCTGCTGGACTTTGCTCATTACCATCGCGAGCTGGATGAGACGGACAAGCTGATGGAGGAGGAGAGGCAGCATGTGGAGCAGCAAAGGAAAGAGGCTGCTGCTGCCGAAGATGCTTGTTCTTCTTGTTGCTCTCCATCCCTCCCCAACTTGCCCCTCCAGGTTCTGGAGTCAGACGTGGCAGCAGCACTAAGCCTCTTAGACTTTGCGCTCTATCATCGCGAGCTGGATGAGACGGACAAGCGGATGGAGGAGGAGCGGCAGCGCGTGGAATCTGATGCTTGTTCTCTTTGCTCCTCCTCCCACCCCTGCCCAAACTTCTCCCCTCTAGGTTCTGGAATCGGATGTAGCAGCTGCGTTGAGTCTCCTTGACTTTGCTCTGTACCATCGCGAGCTGGATGAGACGGACAAGAGAATGGAGGAGGAGAGGCAGCGCGTGGAGCAGCAAAGGAAAGAAGCCGCTGCTGCCGCCGCCGCTGCTGCTGCTGCTGCTGCTGCTGCTGCAACTGCTTCTGGTGATGGTGCTGCTGATGGGGCTGCTGCTGCTACAGGTACTGAGGGCGTGGGCGGAGCAGCAGCAGCGGCAGCCGGGGGAAGGACGAGGCGACGAGGCAGGCGGAAGACAAGGTGCGTTACTGTCTAGTGCTGCTGAGGGGGCTGGTGCTGGTGCCGCTGGTGATGGTACTGATGGTGCTGGTACTGATGGTGCTGGTACTGATGGTGCTGCTGGTACTGATGGTGCTGGTACTGATGGTGCTGGTACTGATGGTGCTGCTGGTACTGATGGTGCTGGTACTGATGGTGCTGGTACTGATGGTGCTGGTACTGATGGTGCTGGTACTGATGGTGCTGGTACTGATGGTGCTGGTACTGATGGTGTTGGTACTGATGGTGCTGGTACTGATGGTGCTGGTACTGATGGTGCTGGTACTGATGGTGCTGGTACTGATGGTGCTGGTACTGATGGTGCTGGTACTGATGGTGCTGGTACTGATGGTGCTGGTACTGATGGTGCTGGTACTGATGGTGCTGGTACTGATGGTGCTGGTACTGATGGTGCTGGTACTGATGGTGCTGGTACTGATGGTGCTGGTACTGATGGTGTGGGCGGAGCTGCAGCAGCAGCAGCAGGTGGGGGAAGGACGAGGCAGCGAGGCGGGCGGAAGACAAGGTGCGTTACTGTTTAGTGCTGCTGAGGGGGCTGGTGTTGTTGCTGCTGGTGGTGCGGCTGATGGTGTGGGTGGGGCTGCAGCAGCAACAGCTGGGGGGCGGATGCAGCGTCAAAGCGGGCGCAAGACAAGGTGCGTTAACCGTTTAGTGCTGCTGATTGGTCTGGTGCTGCGGCTGGTGCTGCAGCTGCTGGTATGGTTGATGGTGTGGTTGGAGCAACAGCAGCTGCTGCTGTGGGACGGATGAGGCGACAGGCCGGACGCTAGTCAGGTGAGTTAGACTTGTTGTGGCAGGATGCTGGGTGGGTGCGATGGGGAGCTCGTATCCCTTCTGGTGTGGTTGGAGCAACAGCAGCTGCTGCTGTGGGACGGACGAGGCGACGGGGCGGACACAATACAAGGTGTGATGGTCCTGTTGTTCCAGGATGGTTGAGCGGGTAAAAAGCAATGCAGGGATCCAGTTCAGAGGTGGAGAAGAGGGAAGAAATTTCCGAGACAATGATAAAACCAGGCTGTGTCTGCGCTGGCAATGCTGCCTGCACTGCTAACTACCCCTCCCCCTTCCTTGGCTGAATTTCCCGCTTGGCTGTTCCCCTTGGTCCTGCAGGTCTCGTGGAAAGCGGCAACACAGGGATTCACAGGCGGAAGGGAGCGAGGAAGAGGAAGAATATGTGGAGGAGGAAGAAGAGGAGGAGGAGGAGGAGGTGGAGGAAATTGAGATGGAAGAAGCACCTACTAATGGGGTGCCACAGTACGTTTCTTGCTTTGTAGTGTGTTGGTGATGACTCAGGGAGGACTGTGATTGTGCGTGGGGAAGGCAAGGGGGGAGATGAGGAGATTGAGATGGAGATTGAGGTAAGGAGGAAGCGGAGGAGGAGGAGGAAATTGAGATGGAGGAAGCACCTGCTGATGGGGTGCCACAGTACGTTCTTTGGCCTCTAATTTGCTGGTGTATATGTGTGTGCGATTGGGTGGGGAAGAGGAAGGGACCATGGGGACGATTGTTCTTAATATACAGAAACTTTTCTGCTGGTTTCTTTGTGATTTTCTTCATGTCATTTTCTCTGTCCGCACCTGCCCTGTCTTCATCTCCTCTTCATCTCCTCTCCATACATCTCTCCTCCGTACTGTTTCCCCGCACCAGCCTGGGTGATCCGGCACCTGCTTCTGCTGCAGATGGAGCCTTCACTGCTGAAAGGTGGGGTTCCTGTTACCTTCTCCCTCACTCCCTCACTCCCTCACTCCTTCACTCCCTAACTCATTCAATCACTCTCCTTTCCACAGCCACCCTGGTTTCGAAATGTTGTTGTCGAGACATTCCACAACCAAAACAGCAAAGGATGGATGTCTCACTCCGGTTTCCTCCCCCCCCCCCTTTCCCCCCCCACCCAGATTTGATGCCTTCCAGCTGGCGTTCAGTGAGCACGCGGTGGCAGCACGGATCGAGTCGATAGCAGTGGAGGAGCTGATAGAGGTGGTCAACAAGCGGTGGCCGGGGAAGGGCTTCACTCGGGCTGAAATCGATGCCATGCTGGAGGTGAGAGTAAACTTAGGGTAGGGTTGAGGTGAGATGGGGGTGAATGAAGCGGAGGTGAGGGTGGGATGAGAGCGACTTGGTGGCTGGTTGAAGTGGTCGGTTTGGCTGGTGGGTCAATTCGATTTGATAGCCGTGGAGGAGTTTGTCAGAGGTGGTCAACAAGCGGTGGCCGGGGAAGAGCTTCACTCGGGCTGAAATCGATGCCATGCTGGAGGTGAGGTGATGGGGAGATGGGGAGATGAGATGGAATGGTGGGTTGAAGGATGGAATGGTGGCTGCGCAGTTTGATGTCGAGATGATGTTATTGGTCTTGTGGTCACGTCTTATGGTTGGACTCGTGAAGCTGATTCTCCATTCCCTGTGTTGTTGTGAATGTCATGCAGCAAATGGAGGTCAATAACCGAGTCATGGTTGCAAGCGGCATTGTACACCTCATATAGCAGTCTTGAGAAATGGCCGAAGCTGTTTCGTGTCTCACATTCCAGATGCTGGATTTGGACATGGGTGGCAATGTCAACCAAAGGACTATGGTACTCTTGCTCTTGATTTTCAGCTTCACCCCCTGCTTCACCCCCAATCACGTCTTTGGGTTCATGTGAAGGGTTCCCTATAGGACTAACAGAATGTGAAACCTGGCACTCCAGAATGGTACGGTTTCTCTTCAGATGAGGCGTACAACAGGGCGCGAGAATAGAGCCCTCCAAAAATCCAGGATTAATTGCTGGTATCTGTTCAAATGCCGAGCAACAGCAAAAACCCAGTATACTTTATTTCCAGGTGAAGAGTACAACAGAGAGGATACTTCTTATGCAGAATCCCCTGACAGTGCAGTAGTATCCTGGCTAACCGCTGAGCAACAACAGTACGCCAGGCAGCCTTCAATCTGCGTTGAAGACATCACGAGACAGACATAATACCCCAAACCACCCCGAACCATTATGACTACGCGGGCGGATGTACAAGGATGGAGAAGGGACGGATGGTACCTTTCAGATGGGAATAAATATCAGTACGGTGTTGAAGCGGCTGGATGGTGCGGGTGGAGGGTGCAGATGGGAATAAATACCAATACGGTTGAAGTTGGGTGGGAGGAAGCTGATTGGCAGTAATAGGCGGTGATAGTCGCGGATCGCCTCAGTTTTCTGCGAGGCTTGATAAATACCCGTATCAGTTAACAGTGAAGGCGACTTCCGTCAATCAATGGGCGTTATCCGTCAGATAGTTGACGATCTCCGTCAATCAGCTGGCAGCGATGTCCATCAATAGGCTGGGGACCTCTGTGGTGTGCTTTTTCGTCTGCTCGAGCTAGGAAGGACAGATCTTGGCGACGAGCTCCACGACGATCGCGAGTTTCGCGAACGTTTAGGCACGGAGGAGTAGTCGTAATCATGGGAAGTCGTCTCCTTCTCCTCGAAGGACGAACCACTATCAGAGTACGCGAAATTCCGCGAGTCGTCGTGCTTCATAGGCGACAGCTCGTCCTGAGAAGAATACGACCCGCTGTCTGAGGTGGCTAAGCTGGTCAATAATTGAGCCTTCCTCTTTATCGGTTCTGACGAAGGCGCGTTCAGGCGTTCAAGAGCATCTATCTGCGACGTATATGCACAATTGATGAGAATTTGACCGAATTCAAGATACGACTTTTCCCGCATGACTGAAATTGACAATTGCGACGCCGTTCTGAACGGGGAGCTGTCAAAGACGTACCTTGCAACCCAAACAGCAGTAACTGAATTCGTCTTGAAGCATTCGAGCGCAGGTCAGGCATGAATTAGTCGTCTTGGTCGGACGAGGCTGAGGCCTCTGGTTCAAGAACACCACTTTTGAGCCATTGACAATGTAGGCCTGTAAGAAGAAAGGGAGAAAATCTTGGTTATGGCAAGAATTGCATTGAAAGGAATTATCAATTGGAAGCACCAAGAGATTTCCGCACCTGGACTCCGCTACAGTCCACGAGCTTCGTGATGTCTTGAAGCCGAACAACGTCGTGATACACGTATCTTCGAATCTGGACAAAGGAGAAAAAGGAATTCTTTGAGTCGGTTTGTTTGTGGTAAGGTCGATTGGACTCGATGTAATCCATTTGACCCAAGACCTCCTCAAATTTGGCAATCCGCTTGAATTCCCCGTGAAATATGCAAATGCGGCAGTACAACGGACGTACCTGGAGCATTTTATGAGATTGGTGGCTTGGCATGCAATGCTGGCAAAGCTCCTCCATGCAGTCCAGACAGAACAAATTCATTTCGTTCTTCTTCAGCGACACGTGTCGCGTGCAAGAAGAGAAGAAATCCCCCTTCAGTAAACAATCAAGCCACTGAGGACGCTCAACTGTAGAACCCTCGGAGAAAAACAGCGCTCTTCGTGCAGCCATGGTTCCAATGTGGAACTACGATGCAATTCCGCTCGAAGCAAATTAGCTCGAAGAAATGTACCAAACCTTTGAAGGCAATTCAGCTTCTCTAGCGACAAGACAAGATTCTTCCAGCTTGTCGTTGACTAAATCCTGGAATTACTCAGAGTAGAACAGAACCACGAAATGGGAAATCATGGAACGAGAGAAGTCTCCTCGAGCAATTGTACGTGTGCAAACAGCCGAGGCTGATTGTGAGCATTTGAGCCTTCCATTGGCTTGTCAACAGAACGAGCAAGAACGAGGGGCTGCTGAGCTCGGCTTGATTCCGTCTCGATGCCCTCGAATCAGGGACTGCCCCAACAGCGCCAGCAGTACATTGAGCTCCCCTCACAAAAGTTTCTCCGAGCTGCCCGGCCCTCTCTACGGGCGGAGTCCAATGGCCGTTCATAACAAATCTCGGGCGATTCCGGCTATTGGACGATCAGGAGCTGCCCTTCACGGGATGGAATGAAACAGTGTGTTCCAGCATACACACGCTGGGCGCCTGCCACTAGGAGGATTCCTTGTGCCAGCGCGGATAATGGTGGAAAGGGCCGCAAGACAAGAAACTTTTCCAAGTTCGTCGGCATGTGCGGACGCCTTATTTGTCACTCTCGCATTGGCTGCTTTTTGTTCGACGAGCCTCGTGGTTCAAGGTAAAAAACATATCAAGAAAAACATCTCCTGGTTCGGGGGCCAGCTCATGCAGTGCACCTTGGGATGCAATGATGACGAGCAACGTCGTGGTGTGCCCCTCTCACTCCCTCCCTTCGTCTCACGCACAGGTCCGAGAGCAATCTTCCCAGTGTTCTCCCAAACGTACGCCACCTTTGACACCGAGCCTAACCAAGATATCATGCCACAGCTTCTGCCAATAGTCTGACTAGGACGAGTGCTTCGTTCCCCAGTTTAGAGGGGAGCCACGTCACACAGTAAGACAGATCTGTACACGCAAGAAATGCCCACGGCAACTTTCTCTCACGCGCCAGTGACTCCACAGTATCTAACGCGCTGACACATGCCGTACAATTGATCGAAGACTATGGACTCTGGCACGCGCAAACAAAAAATATCCCTTGAACGTGGGCATAGGTCAAGACGTCAAACATGAAACTTCTCATGGTAACAAGCTTACAGTAAAGCGTACGTTTTCAGTGAAGTGAAACTCGCCAAGGAATGTAGACAGGTAAAGATTTATAGCGTGCACCTCTATGTATAACGAAACAAACATTCACCAGAGCATGTCGAAAACTATTCATCATTCCAACACGATGTATATTCTTGTCGATAGCTCTCATCTCTACGATTTAAGGTATCATATACCATAAATTGTACGAGCAGCTGACTTAAACTTGGTCCCCCACAGACAGAATGCTATAAGAATGCTATTTACATCTCAGTTTCCTCCCCGAACCTTAACAGAATTCTGAAGATCGTAATACTTTGTAGTGAGTCTTTTATTAACGAATCTTGCCCGTGAGGTTTGAGGAGGAGAGTTCGTCCATCACACAGCACGTGTTGCGCATCCCCTCCGCCTGCGCGACCACAATTACTGTATTAACGTTCTATGGGGTGAGGGATGGGCGGGTGTGAGCCGCGCGATTGCAATAATTCACCCCCCTACAGCGATGAGCAAACTTGAGCCGTGCGATTGCTAGTATAATTCACTCCGTGTGCGACGGGGGCAACTCCGACCTCCCCTCCATCTGAACATGCGACAAGATCGCAGATTCTGCATTATTTCCATAATTCGTTTTGCTCTTGCGAGCTCCAATCCGGTTGCTTCGTTCAAGCTGCCATCGACGGTCACCAGCCCGAGCGACACAACGGGGAATTGCTGAGTCGGTCAGGCGACACTGCAGGCGACTTCTGATCGGCCAGGCGATTGCTCCGCCTGTTACGATTCCGCAAGCGACTGCTGAGTTGGTTGCTGAGCTTCTGGTATGCACGTGCCATTCGCATACAAACTCCAATTTCAGCTCGAACCGGGTCGCGTTCCAAACAGCAAATCGAAATGCACATTCAGGCCGAGACGATTGGGGAATTGTCCAGTCCACCACCCACTGCAGCAGCCATGGAAACATGTCCTCCGCCACTTCTGTGCCATTTGCTCGTGCTTTTTGACATCAACGCCAGCAGACATACCACTACGATCATACCTCCAGCTGTTCCGCAAGTTGTAGTAACTAAATGTATCAGCTGTATCAGTAGCATCGAGCTGCACCATTGAGACGCCGCGTTGTACCAGCAGAAAAAGAGCCATCTACCATTGCGTCAAAAGCCCTGACATTGCCGCGCCACTCATTTGCGTATGGTACACCAGGCAGCGGCTCGCTCTACAAAAAATTGCCCACATTCCCCACGGCTTGACTACCATGGCCGCCTCTCCTGCCCCGCTGCTTCCGCTCCTCGTCCTCGCCGTCATCTGCGGTGAGTCATTTCTCTCTCCTTGCCGTTCCAAAGGGTTTCTTTCTTCGTGCTTTTTTTACAAGCTCTTATATCGAAACAGGGGATTCTAACCTTCGTGGATGCATTTCGACCCTTCGTGTAAGCTCAGGCGATACTAAATCTAGTTTTGAGGCGCCCTAAAATCAGATTCCTCGCACGCGGCATTTATGTAGTAGATAGAATCTTTGTTGCCTTCGTGGATGCATTTCGACCCTTCGTGTAAGCTCACAGGCGATATACATCTGAGAAACACGTACATTCTGCTCCCTTCGCCTCACCCCTCTGCTCCTTTCGTCTCAATCCTTCTCACTCCTCTGATCCCTCTCCCTCCAGCGGTCGCCACGGCTCACATCGCGGCAGGCGAGCAGGCGAACGCGGGCGTGCGAGTGCGCGTCGCAACCGCGGCTGCGACTGTCACAATTGGCGCAACCGAAACTGTGACAGCCAGAAGCCTCAAAACCGAATTCACCGCGGCAAGCGGGGAAGAGAGCGGCATACAGGCGGGGGCGGGAGTGGGAGTTGGGGGGGACGGGGGTGGGGCGGTGGACGCAAGTGTCCACGTGGCAACGCAGATCAAGGTGTCGGGCGTGAGCGTCCCCGTCAGCTTCGACGCCCTCCGCTGCTTCAGCCTTCCCCGGGCGGCGCGCAAGGCGGCGGGAGACGTGCAGGTGTGGTGGCACGGGCTCACGGCCGGCGCCACGGGCGGCAGCACGGGCGGCGGCACGGGCGGCGGCACGGGCGGCGGCACGGGCGGCGGCACGGGCGGCGGCACGGGCGGCGGCAGCAAGAGCGGCGGTGGTTCGCGTGGGAAGGGCGGAGGTGCGGCGTGTAAAGAGCTCAACTTCTTTGCCAACCCGGCCTGCAAGGGCAAGGCGCTGGATGAGGTGCTGCAGCCGCAGTTTGCCGCTCTGAGGAAATTCTTCCACGTGCCCAGGTGGGTCATGACCAGAAGTGCCAGGTGGGTCATGTGTCACTTTCAAAATTTCTCAAAAGTGCCCAGGTGTGCGGGACATGGGTGCAGGGCAGGTGGGTGATGGGAACGTGGGTTGGAGTGAGTTTACTCTACCAATGCCTCAGTCATAGGCCACTGCAGCGACGCACAGTCGTGCCTTGGGTTATGCGTCCCTAAAGCAACATCTCATCTAAATGTGTTCTTGCCGTCCCTGCGTGCAGTGCAAAGAAGATTCCCCGATGGACTTCCGTTTCCTGCAAGTGTGGTGCGTGCCTTGCCTCCCTGCCTCCTTGCCTCTTTGCCTTCTTGCTTCCCTGCCTCCTTGCCACTTTGCCTCCTAGTCTCCTTCCCTCCTTCGATCCTTCCCTCCTACGACCCTTCCCTCCTTGCCATCGTCCCGCACACATCTCAACCCTTCCAAGGGAGGGAGCGTCTCTGGCTGATGGTTTCACCAGCCACGCCGCATCTTCGTGTTACCCATGTGCCTCTCCTCTTCTCACCCCATGCTGCCAGAAATCACCTGCCAGCACGCCACGTGTCCCGCCAACTCCACGTGCATGCCAACGACTGACAGCAAGGGCGTCACCTGTCCATGCAACCCGGGCTTTGCTGCCGTCAATGGCACTTGTGTGGGTACGTGGTTGTGATGCTTCTCCGTCTCTCCTTGTCTCCCCTGCTATCTCCGCTCACCTGTCCTTGCAACCACGGCTTTGCGGCCGCTAATGGCACTTGCCAAGGTACGATGCATGTGGTATCTCCTTCCCTCTCCTGTTCCCTCCACTCACTTCTCCATGCAACCAGGGCTTCAATATTTTCCTTCTACTTGCTTGGGTCCCTTTTCCTTGCAGACTTGTGTGATGCGGTGAATTGTGGGCCTGGCGGCAACTGCACGAAGGATGCGAACGGAAAGCCATCCTGCAGCTGCAACACGGGCTATAAGCCGTCAAATGACTCCCTTTCCTGCATCGGTGAGTAGGAGGAGACACCAAGGGCATGCCTTGATTGCGGAGGGATTCAAACCCAGTTGAGACTTGGTCTCCTCTCTCAACTCTCTGGTAGTAGTCACGGATTGCATGTATTTTCAACTCAATGTCCCTTTATTCAACTCAGTGTCCCTTGATTGAATGTCAAGATCCCAATCGTACAGATTTCTGATATGAAAATATCCTTCACCGGGCCTGGGTCCCCTTTTCCTTGCAGACTTGTGTGATGGGGTGAACTGTGGCCCTGGAGGCAACTGCACAAAGGATGCAAAAGGGAAGCCATTCTGCGCATGCAACACGGGCTTTAAGCCGTCAAATGACTCGCTCTCTTGCATTGGTGAGTGGGAGGAGAGCAACTCAGAGCCCGTGCCTTGCGTTGCAAACCCAGAAAAAGCACAAGTCTATCTCCTCGAAATCGCCAACTTCTCGCACAAGTGAACGCATTCTGTGCCTATCTAGCTCTGCAGCACTTGACTACCAACAGTTGAATGCTTCCACTTGCCTGTGTCTCTTTGTTTATATGCAGACAACTGTGCTGCAGTGGATTGTGGGGCCAATGGCAAGTGTGTGAGGAAGGAGAACGGCGATCCCACCTGCGAATGCGATGCGGGCTTCGGGATGCCTCCCAACGAGCTGCGCTGCATCGGTGAGTTGCTGTGTCGGTGAGTTGCTGTGTCTGCGAGGTCGACGCGGGCTTCCAGATGCCTCCCAACGAGCTGCGTTGTATTGGTGGGTTGCTGCAGTGGTCTTGTCTGGAGGGTGCAAATCTGGAGTGGTCTTGCATGATGCAGTTACACATTTGTAAATTCCTTCTTGACCTACTATCATGCATGTTCCACCCACCCACATGAGAATCTAGGTTGAGCTGCTATCATGCCTGTTCCGCATCCTGTGTGTGTTTTTTTTTTCCTTTTTTTTTTTTTTTTTTTTTTTTTCTATTCTTGCATCATTCCCTTCTTTTTTTCCGTTTCCCCTTTATTCCACCCCATCCTTCCATGCACGTGCACGCACATCAGACACAGCTTGCGCAGCGTTGGGCTGCGAACCGGACGGGGTTTGCCTGTTGAGGAGCCTCAGAATTTTCGTGTTCCCCCTTTTTCCGCCCCATCCTTCCACCCTACACTTCCTTCCATGCACGTGCACGCACATCAGACACGGCGTGCGCCGCGTTGGGCTGCGAACCAGATGGGGTTTGTGTGAAAAGCGCCGACGGCATTCGCTCATGCAAATGGAGTAAGCACGACTTCTAGCTTTCTGTTCCCCCAACCCAGCCCATCAGCACCCATCCGCACTCATTCTCCTCTAGATCTTTCATTCAAGAAAGCAACTTCTCCATACGTGCAGCTGCCCGCTTTGCTGCTGGCTCTATTCAGCATTCCTCTGCAGCTGCCCCCTTAGCTGCCCTCATCTGGACTTTTGCAAACTCAAACTTTGACCTTTTGAGGCGCCTGAAAAGCCTCAAGCTGGCCCGTCTGCTGCGCTCTGCCCTACTGGAGCCACTTGCAAGACCGCCCCTACAACGGCATTAAGTCCCCTCCGGGCAGGGGTGCCATATTGCCAGTGCCGTACTGCCAATGCCCTTCTGGCCCCATTTCACCATCTATCTGCCGTTCCACGTGCCTCTCCCCCCTGCTTTCTGTGTCCCCTCCCCCTGCTGGTGTTGCTCAGACTCTCCCTGTGGCACCTGTCCCTCTGGAGCCACTTGCAAGACCGCTCCTACAACGGCATTGAGTCCCCTCCGGGCAGAGGTGCCATACTGCCAGTGCCCTCCAGGCTATGGGATGACCGCAACAGGATGCATCCAAAGTAAGACTCACTAGCGCTCCCTCTGCTTCCTCTCACGTGCTCCTCTGGAGCCACCTGCAAGACCGTCCCTATAACCAGAACTGATAGTTCCATACGAGCCATGCGGTTCTGCCAGTGCCTTGCGGGCTATGGGATGACCGCAACAGGATGCATCCAGGGTAAGATTCCATGCTGCCCCGTCTGCTTCATCTCAATCTAGTGACCTGCAAGACAGTCCCCACAACAGCAACTAGTGACCTGAAGGCAGAGGTGCCGTACTGCCAGTGCCTTGCGGGCTATGGGATGACCGCAACAGGATGCATCCAGGGTAAGACCCAATGCTGCCCTGTCTGCTTCATCTCAATGTAGTGACCTGCAAGACAGTCCCTGAAAAATCTTGCAGCAGTAAACCTGGAAACGTGTCAGCTTTTTGCCTATACTGTCCTTCCCTGTCCCAATTCATAGCATCATGCCATGGCCCTTCCTTCTCCTTCCCCCCCATCTGCGCTGCGCACCTCCCCTGCTGCTTATGTCATTTATTTTCAGCTGCATCGCACCAAGTGGCTGCCAGCAGTATGACTCTCATCTAGAACCGTAACGCCAGAGGCAATTCCTGGCGCGCCTTAAAAACCCTCCTGTTGTTTCTCCGATCCACTCTCAGGTGCACCTGACCAAGTGGCTGCCAGCAGTATGACACTCATCCAGGACCCTAACGCCAGAGGCAACGCGTCCAAACCCTACACCTTCCACTTAACAAGTCCCGAAGGAGGTGGCCGGGACCTACAAACTTGCGTACACAGTGGATAACATCGGTGGTGTTGAGGGTTGCTTCGGCGTCGGTTTTTTCACTCTAGATAACTGCGCCCCCTCGAGCGTGACATTGAGACGCACAAACGCTGGTGGTCCAATGATCGTGAAGGCAACTTCGTAAGTCGTCAACCAATCACAAATCATTTTGCTGTCTGCATGTTGTCATACATACCTTAGATCATGTGCACTTTGCACCTCAGCACACTATGTCAATGGTGCACCAGTGTCTACCATACAGCTCACCTTTTACCCAAGTTCATCCCTCTCCTTTCTCCTTCTCAATTCTTGTTTCCTCTCGTGTGTGTCTTTATTATTTCATAATCAACCAGGTGGGGCTTGCCCGATGGAACCCGCTCTGTCGGGTGCTACTACGACACCTGATTCCCCCTTCAATGCAGTTCCCGTGTTGCTCGATGTTGAATAAGTGAAATTTCCTCTAGGTTCAAGTACCGGTAGTTGTGCTAGAAGTGCATTCAGCTACTTAAAGGCGGGGTGCAACTTCTTAGGAACAGTAGGCGGACAAAAGTAGCATGTGTGTAACTTGAATTCTATTGGCCGAAAACCAAAAAAGGACAAACTTCTCGGCTCTGAACTGCCTGGGTCAAACTCTTCCAAGCTATAATACCTTGAAGTTGAAGTTGAAAGTTGGGCCACGGCTTTAAATAGAGGACATGGCCAACTGTTGCGATGCAACTGTTGACCACCCCCCAGAGGTTACGTATCGGCAAGTAGTACCGTAACAGTAAGTCTCTCAACAATCACATGCAAAATAAGGGAATGTACCCCTTAGAGTACATGGCTAGTTAGGACTGACTGTGTATCATGCGTGTTTTTTATATTACATTGTATGAAAACGTTAATGGAAAATGTCTGAATTTTCATAAATGCGTTTGAATAATTCCATGAATCGCCTTGTGAGACATAGGATGTTTGTTGTATTTTGGTTATCCTCTGAAAGGAAGATATAACTTCTGCATTTCGAGATGAGGAATTAGACAACCCCCCCTCAACTAACGTCATCCCATGTTGAACATCTCCAAGATACGCAGAACTATAACGTTTGGTTTCAAAAGCATTGCGCTATTTACAGTACCGCGTACCATGATATTTGGTGATTACACGAAGCACAGCGCGACAGAGTCCAGCAACTCAAGCTCTAAAATTCCTGGTGGCACGTGTTTGAATTGGCTTGGTGATTCAGCTTGCCCTTTCTTGCACTGATGAGCCACGCGCCCAGCTGTCCTACGTGTACGTCGACAGCGTGTCCCCGCAGTTTTCCACATCCTTCCCAAAAACCTGCGAGCGGTGAGGTCAGATTGACCAGACCGGAATTGAAGCAAAGCGCCTGTTCGAATGGTTTTCCGCAACGCACGCAAAGTTCTGTCGATTTTGTCCTGCACGCTCATGGTTTGCGGAAGGGCGTAAACTCAAAAAGTGCTGTGGATTATTTTTCTCGTTTCACAACCGACAAAGAGTGTCCATAGCAGCCCAAGTCCGGGCAGGGCTCCACCCACCTTGAAGAGATTGTTTGTTAACACTTAGCTGTCACAGAAATGATATCCAGCCACTTTTGGCTCATGATGCTGGGACATTACACCACATCCACCAAAGTCGAATCGAAGATGCTGAAAGAGAACAAGCAACCCTCTCGCACCAATGGGAAGTGATCCGCGTTCGTCCTCCACTGTCTGCCCAACCTAAGGGCGCGTAACCATTTTGCATTTTGTGATTTTGACGGACAGTCCGCTTAAAACGAAGCGGACGGTCCACTTACTGAAAACGGGACCGTCCGAAGTGAAAATTTGCAACTTCGGACTGTCCGAAGGCAGTTGTGACACTTTTCTTCTATTGTACAGTTTCGCGACAACTGTAAAAGCGTTACGCGATTTACGATTTTCATGTTTTCCATTGTCGAATCATTGTTCTAAGCGAGTTGTCTCTGGTTGGTCAATGTAAATTTGCGAAATCTCACCACATGTTTTTGTTGTTGGACGAGATGCCCGAGAATTTTTACGTCGTGCACCAATCGGATGCAAGGAAATTTTTACAGTCCGTTTGAGATTCGGACTGTCCACGGTTCAGATTTCGGACCGTAGAAAATGGGAAAAAGTGTCACGACTGTCCGTTTTGTTGGCGATGTCGCCAAAACCTTAGCGAGCTCACTTACGACATAGCGCGAAAGCTGTTACCTTTTCGCGAACTGGACGGTCCACGGTTCGAACCGTCGGGTGCAAAATGGCTATGCGCCCTAAATCATTTCTCCCAATCCCCTTCCAGGATAAAATGTTTCATCTACCCGTCTGCGTGGACATTCCATCCCACGCAACGCAATCCATCTTTTCCCGCACACCCTCAAATGCGTCGACTCCTCCTACCTTCCCTCGAATGCGAGCATGGGGGATACAGTACAACTATCCCTCTCCACCTCGAAGTGTAGGGCAGTACAGCATAAGTTCTCGCATCCCTCCGCTCCCCTCCTCACATCCCTTGTCCCCGTTCACCCTTTCCCCTTCCCCCTTTCCCCTTCCCCTTCCCCGCAACCCCTGGTCACATGACAAGATCTCATACCCCTCTTACGGCGCACCTTTACACGCACGGGTCCTACTTTCCTGCCAGCCCAGGTTTCTGATATTTCCCACCGACCTCCTTTCCCCCCCGCATTCCGCTTCTGCTTACCCTTCCCTCCCTGCAAGCAGAGCAGAGCGGAGGCAGTGTGCTGCTGTGCGTGGATTGGTCAAGACAAACTCGCCCAGCAGATGTGCCCTGCCAATCGGAAATGCAACTCGCCTCTAGCTGATGTGCTCTCTGTACTCTATCTAGCCGTCTATGATGACATCACGTCGACGCCCAAGTGACTGGGGATGAGGTGAGGGGGAGGAGGTGAACAAGGCCTTTCTCTCTCCTGAAGCCAGCCATCCCAGCCCACCCACCACCCAGTTGCACCAGGTACAACGGGTCGCGCGAGGAAGAGTAGCACCATTACGGCCCGCTTATCGTCCTCCGCTATCCATTTGGAAAGACTGCGTTGACGGCTTGTTATTTGCTCCTAAAATTATTATCTTATAGATGCGCGCAAGCAGCAGCAAAACGGAACAGCAGCAGTTGGCACATTAGCAGCCATGGCGTGCGGCATGAGCTTCATGGATGCGCTTCGGGTCGCGGCGAAGACCAAAGACGCTCCGTCTGAATGGTTCGAGCATCAACCCACGTGGCCTACGAATTCCTTCCCCAACGATAAAACCAGCTCCGAGCCCGTTTCGGCGCCGAACCTACCCATGCCGAGCCTCTCTATGCCGAGCCTCCCCATGATGCCGAGCCTTCAGGCGCCGAGTCCAAGAAAGCGAAGGCAATGCGGCCCGGAGACGCCTCGGAAAACCCGCTCCGAGTCGCCTGCTGCTGCAAATTCCACCGATGCTTTCGCGGATCCTAACAATGCCGCTCCAAGATTCTTTAGATTTATCCAAGATCCTGCCGCAGAGGCTTCTGAGACTCCCGCAGACGGTGCCGCTTCCGCTTCTGCAGATCTTAACCACGCGGTTCCAAAATCTGGCAGGGAGGGGGAGGGGGGAAATCCGCCAACCGAGCTTGCTACGATTTTCTGCAACGACTGGCCTGCATATCGACAGGCAGAGACGCCTCGAACCTTTAGCACCACGGCTCAACGCGGCGCTATCACCGCCGCGCAATGCGGTGGCTCTACTGTTACTGGACCGGTTACGGAGCGCTCCCCTCGACCGCCGCGCCGCCGCGAAACCCGTCAGCCTCCGCTAACGCCGAGGGCTGCCACTCTCCCTTGGGGAATGCGGTCGCCGCCAGCTCCGGCGGAAGCAGATCCCGCTGACGAGTCCGCTGTTCTGCCACCCCGCTTGACATTCTCCCCCGTCTCCTCCGCCTCCCCCGCCTGTTCCGCCTTCCCCGCTTCCCCCAAGCTGCTCGTATTGCCGGATTCCGCCTTCTTCCGTTCGCCGCGCATCCCCGAAGCGCGTTTCGCCTCTCCCCGAACGCCCGCTCCTCTCGAGCCGCTTCAAAGCACTGCCCCGCGGCCTCCGGTCTTTCGTTCCGCGGCATCTCCGCGGGCGTGTGACACTGCACCGACTACTCCCACGTGTCCGCCCCTCGTCGAGCCGCGACTGCCGCGAGCGCGCACGTGTGTCGTTCCCGCGGATAGCGACGAAAGCGCGCTCGCCGCCTCCGCGGACGCGTCCGCCATCCGCAGAGCATCATCCGCCTCGTGCTACTCCCCCGCGTCTGCATGTGCGGCGAATGTCGCCGTTGACCGCGTTGACCCGGTCAACGGCCACGTGTCAACATGCGAGTGGGCTGAGGCTGCTGGCGTGGACACACTGGACATTCCGCCATGGGTTCGAGAGAAACTTTCCGCTTCCCGCGCGGAAGAGGCGCAGAAGAATGAGTCGGCCGCGCTCACAAGACTTAGTCGCATAGACCGCGAAACTATGGCGGACGGCGAGAAGCGAGCGGGACGCGTCGAATGCGACGGCGAGTGCGGCAAGGTGTGCAGCGGCGAGCGCGCGGAGAGTCGAATCCGCGACAGGGGCGCGGAGGGCGAGAAGCCGAGCCTGTGGGACATCATGCAGTGGGAATCCGATATGATCGCGTCCGCCTGCTCGACTGCCGCTGCTAAATCTCCCCGACAGCCGTTTATCAAGCGGTACCGCTCCGCGTCTGCTCTTCCCACCACTCCGCCTCCCACGCCGTCCGCGTCGAAAGCGTCGCTGACGGTCCAGATTTGCGACGATGCGAGCGCCAACGGCGGAGATCTGTCGTTTTTCGAGGAGCTGCTGCTGGAGTTCGGCGCGGGTGAGGGGGAAGAGGCGGGCGGAGAAGCGGGCGGAGAGATGGAGGAAGAACGGGGATGGGAGGAAGAAATGTGCATTCCGGCGGAAGAAAAAGCTCAGTTCGAGGAGGTTCCGCCGGTTGTGCCGGAGGTGGATGACAAGTGTGGTAGTTATTCGGTGAAAATGGAAAATAACGGGAAAGCTGACGGCGGGGAGGGGTTAATGAATAACGCGGAATGCATTTTTGAGCGGATTCAGGAAATGGAGGACGAGGGTGCGGAGATGGGGCGTGAAAGGGCGAGGATGGCGGAAGATGGGGCAGAAATGGCGGCCGATGAGGGGGGGACGCCGCACGATGAGGGGGAGATGGCGGATGAAGGGGGTTGGATGGCGGACGAGGCGGAAATTCAAACCAATAAGCTTTCGCATGATCAGCCTGCTGCTGTCAGCGATCTGCTTAGCAGTGTTCAGCTGGAGCGGAAACACGGGGAAGTGGGGGAGGCAGAAGCGGAGCAGCAGAACGCGCCGCAGTATGGCTCACCGTTCCGTTCCGCGCATGGTTCCCCGAGTGCCCCTGCTGGCGGATTCGCGCAGATGTGGTCAGAAGCATGGGCGGATGTCGCGGATGCGGAAATACCAGGGCTGACGGGGAACTGCATGTTCCGGCCGTAACTCGCGACGTTCCTGGTGATGCATTGTACGCGCTACAAGCTCCTGCCATAATAAGATGTTACACTGGGGACGCTCTGGCTCCCAAAGAAAAACGTCCAGAAACCGTGCCACTGCTGTTGTTACACTCTAGGAGTTACAACTACAGCTTCATTACCAGCTACAGTTACAAACCGCGGCTGCTGTTCTTCCCGCTACGTCGTCGAGATGGTGCAGTGACATCATCACCTCCTGATGCCAGGAGGATGAGAAGATAATATGATTTGTTTGAATTGATTTGCCATGACATCATCACATCACCTGGGTGATGATTTGGTCCAGATACGGAGCTCGACTTGAGGCTCAGGCAGGCTCCACTTCCCCTCAGCTCCCTGCCTTGCGCCTCGCCTCGCCACAGTCCCCACTCTTACCCTTCTTTCTCCCTGCCTCTTCCTGCCTCACGCAATGCCTCCCTTGTTGTGTCGCATTCAGCCACCGATTCTACCTTCTTTCTTGTGTTCCCAACACTCACTCATCCCTCGCCCCTCCTCTCCATATCCAGCTTCACACCACACCACACCCCTGTCTTGAGTCCTCTTACGGTACTCTCTTGTGCCTCCCCCAGCACAACCATTCTTTTTTTCCCTTTCAAGGGAAGGGCTTCAATCATTGTGGCTTGATCTCTGTTTAAGCGCTTCCCTTAGCTCCGCTGTCGCGATATGGTGTTTGAATTGTATCATCTTTCTGTAACGATCAGGTTGTAGTATCTTTTGTTTGTCCCCAATGTGATTGCATGAAAGAGCAGGTGCCATTAATGTTCCGTTGCGGTCTACGCAGGTTCTGTCCAAAGACAGCAAGAGCAAGGCAGTCAGTCAGACTATTTCATAGCCCTCTCCTCAAGTTTTCCCACAAAAAGTTGAGGTAGTGGGGTAGGGGGGGAATAAGCCACAGCTCGCCCTAAACAACTGCACTCTCTTCAACAAGCCAACCAAGCTGGAGCAGAGGCCACTGATTAATACACCAATTTATACACACCAATCTATACACTCTGAATCGAAAACATTCAGTATTACCGCACCATACATCCAATGTAAGGGCACGTCACGTTACGCTACAAGCTTCGATCCACTAGAGCATACCAATCTGCTGTACCTTCACTGCTCGCTCTCGAGACCAAACGCACGGATGTAGAAGTCGAAGCGCTGCTTCTCCCGCTGCTTATCCAGCATTGTGTCTTCTTCCCTCATGGCTACTCGCTCTCTACTGCTCGCTCTCAAGACCAAACGCACGGATGTAGAAGTCAAAGCGCTGCTTCTCCTGCTGCTTATCCAGCATTGTGTCTTCCCACTTGTAGTGGTGCCGCGGGCGCTTCTCCTGAGTGGGTTTGGGGGCAGGGACCGGGGAGAGTAGGGGAGATTGAGAAGAGAACTGGCACCTGGCACAGCACTGCTGCTTCTCCTGCTGCTTATCCAGCATTGTGTCTTCCCACTGGTAGTGGTGCCGCGGCCGCTTCTCCTGAGGGGGTGGGGACAGGAAGGAAAGAGAAGTGTGAGAACGGAATGGCACCTGGGCAACATTGTAGGTTGACAGCGCTGCTTCTCCTGCTGCCTATCCAGCATTGTGTCTTCCCACTTGTAATGGTGCTGAGGCCACTTCTCCTGAGCAGGTTTGGGGGCAGGGAAAAGGGGAAAAAGAGAAGAGAACTGGCACCTGGCTGCTTCTCCTGCTGCCTATCCAGCATTGTGTCTTCCCACTTGTAATGGTGCCGAGGCCGTTTCTCCTGAGATGGTGGTGACAGGGAGGAGTGCAAACTTAGAGGACAGGGGAGAGTAGAAGTGCAAAGAGAATGAGGAAGCGCTGCTTCTCCTGCTGCTTATCCAGCATCGTGTCTTCCCACTTGTAATGGTGCCTAGGCCGTTTCTCCTGAGAGGATACAGAACAGAAGCGAGAACGGTAGGAGTGAGATGAGACTAGGAACAACCACCACTGCTTCTCCTCCTGCTTATCCAGCATTGTGTCTTTCCCACTTGTACTGGCTCCCCGTGTGGGCGCTTCTCCTGAGAGAGTGAAGAGAAGAGGAACAGGACTACCGTACATGATGGGATCGAGACGAAAGAATGGAGGAACGAGACAGGGCAGAGAGAGAGGCAAGAAGATGGTAAACGGAAAGGACAAAGCGTCTTACAGTAGTCCCCAACCTCCCTATCTTCTCCCCCTTTCCCTATTTTCACCTTAGAGTTGGCTGCCAGGTAGGCGCGCATCTTATCAGCCACGTCATCGTCCAGCTGGCGCTTGAGCAGATCTCGGTAGATGCGGCGCACCGTGGCCATTGGATCGGCCACGAGATCGCTGTAGCGCACATCAACGGCCTGGGATGACCGCAGAGCCAGCAGCACATCAGCACTGTTACTGTTGTTGCCACTGTCAATCGAAGAGAATTCGTTACTGCCGCCACCACTGTCGCCACTGTTGGTACTGCTGCTACCCTTACTGGTGCGGCTGCTCCTGCTTACGCCAATAGGTGACGAGCCGTTGCTTTTGCTTCCGTTGCTCACTATACTGCTCACACTTCCCTCCACTCCTTGCCCTTTCTCCTCTCTCTTTGTTCCTGTCACACGGCCATTTGAGCCGTTTGTGCCATTTGTACGCTCCTTCTCTTCAGTTATTTCTCCTTCCCCACCCTTTACCTCCGTGCCTGCCCCCTCAATCCCCCGCAGCCGCATCATCTCAGCCAATGCGCTCGCGACAGCTGGCACCCAAGTCTGGGAGATCTGGGGGCAGGTCGGACGGGAAAGGGGTGGCAAAGAGCATATCTCGAGGGGGTGAGTGAAGGAGTAGGTAGGCGGCATGTAAACAGCCCCTAAGGGAGTAGGCGGCATGCAAAGGGCATATCTCGAGGGGGTGAGTGAGGGAGTAGGTAGGCGGCATGGTAACAGCCCCTAAGGGAGTAGGCGGCATGTAAGTAAACAGCCCCTAAGGGGGTAGGCGGCATGTAAGTAAACAGCCCCTAAGGGAACGATTTGACGCATGTTCATATCTGATAACGACGGTCTCAGAGTTCTGACGCATGTTTCATTGCATATGTTTTAGCAATGAAACATGTTTCATGCCGACGGTCTAACGCTGACACTGTCGGCATGAAACATGTTCCATTGCATATGTTTTAGCAACATGCCGACAGTGTTAGCGTTACCTCTGATTTGTCAACATGATGGTCCGAGTGCTTCTTATCCCCCTTACAAGGGCTCACTCGTTTTAAGGTAAGAGTTACCTCTGATTTGTCAACATGGTCTGAGTGAATGCTCCTTACTCCCCTTATAAGGCTATGCGCCGATGCCAGCACGGTCAACGGGTTCCTGGAGGGATAGATGAAAGTTTCATGCATGGGAGTTCAGAGAACAATAATATGCGGAAAACATACATGGGAAAGGCAAGAGTTGGGAGTAAATGCTCCGTATGTGCCGATGCCAGCACGGTCAGCAGGTCCCTGGAGGGATAGATGAAAGTTGCAGGTAGAAGATAGAACCACAAACTATGTAGGAAACGGTTGGAAAGAAAGGTTGGGAGTGAATTGGCCTCCCAGCCCATTGACCTCACCTCCTCAGCTTGGCATCGGGAAAGGCTGTCCAGAGCGAGGGCAGAGAGAAGAGATGTGCGAGGCACTTGAGCAGCCATCTTGGGGCCTTGGGCCCTCGCCACTGCAGGTACTGCAGCTGCCCCCTACCCCCAACCTTAAACCACTCCATCACCCCATCCCATCACCTCACCTGTGCGTGAAAATAAGTTTGGCATCGGGGAAAGAGGCCATAAGTGAGGGTAGAGAGAAGAGGTGTGCCGGGCACTTGAGCAGCCAACGGGGGCCTTTGGCCCTCGCCACTGCAGATACGTGCAGGTACGCTAAGCAGCCAGCGGGGGCCTTTGTTTTGAGACGTCTCAAAACAACTCTTTTATCACTTGAGCAGCCAGCGAAGGCCTTTGGCCCTCGCCACTGCAGGTACTGCAGCTGCCACTGTTAACCCCAACCCCTAACCCCCTGTTCCCCACCCCATTGAGACCTCACCTGTGTGTGAAGATAAGCTTAGCGTCGGGGAAAGCAGCCATGGGCGAGGGCAGAGAGAAGAGGTGTGCCGGGCACTTGAGCACCTGCACTCTGCCCTGTTAATTCCCCTACCCCCCACCCCATCCTGACCTCACCTGTGAGTGAAGATAAGCTTGGCGTCGGGGAAAGCAGCCATAAGCGAGGGCAGGGAGAAGAGGTGAGCCGGGCACTTAAGTAACCACCGGGGCGCCTTGGGCCCTCGCCACTGCAGGTACTGCAGCTGCCAGCGCAGAACACCCAGTGACCCTACCCCACCCCATCCCACCGCACCCCATGATCTCATCACCTCTCTCACCTATGAGTGAAGATGAGTTTAGCATCGGGGAAAGCGGTCATGAGCGCGGGGAGAGAGAACAGGTGCGCCGGGCACTTAAGTAACCACCGGGGGGCTTTAGGGCCTCGCCACTGCAGGTACTGCAGCTGCCAGCGCAGGAGGCGGTAGGTGGGGTGAGGTCGGAAGAGAGGTACCATCGGAAGTAGGAGGGGATGTTGAAGTGGATGGTGGGGAAGGCGAAGGAGGTGAAATCGTACCTGTTGGTGGGGGGCGGAGAGGGGAGGGGGAGAGGGAAGAGAGAAGGGCGAGAGGGGAGGGATGGAGGAGAAAGGGAAGGAGGAGCGCGGGAGGCGAGGGGATGTTGAAGTGGATGGTGGGGAAGGCGAAGGAGGTGAAGTCGTACCTGGTGAGGCATGGCACGGGGAAGATAGGAGGGGAAGATAGGAGGGGAAGATAGGAGGGGAAGATAGGAGGGGAAGATAGGAGGGGAAGATAGGAGGGGAAGATAGGAGGGGAAGATAGGAGGGGAAGATAGGAGGGGAAGATAGGAGGGGAAGATAGGAGGGGAAGATAGGAGGGGAAGATAGGAGGGGAAGATAGGAGGGGAAGATAGGAGGGGAAGATAGGAGGGGAAGATAGGAGGGGAAGATAGGAGGGGAAGATAGGAGGGGAAGATAGGAGGGGAAGATAGGAGGGGAAGATAGGAGGGGAAGATAGGAGGGGAAGATAGGAGGGGAAGATAGGAGGGGAAGATAGGAGGGGAAGATAGGAGGGAAGATAGGAGGGGAAGATAGGAGGGGAAGATAGGAGGGAAGATAGGAGGGGAAGATAGGAGGGGAAGATAGGAGGGGAAGATAGGAGGGGAAGATAGGAGGGGAAGATAGGAGGGGAAGATAGGAGGGGAAGATAGGAGGGGAAGATAGGAGGGGAAGATAGGAGGGGAGATAGGAGGGGAAGATAGGAGGGGAAGATAGGAGGGGAAGATAGGAGGGGAAGATAGGAGGGGAAGATAGGAGGGGAAGATAGGAGGGGAAGATAGGAGGGGAAGATAGGAGGGGAAGATAGGAGGGGAAGATAGGAGGGGAAGATAGGAGGGGAAGATAGAGGGGAGATGAGTGTTGAAAATACACTCAGTAGCATCACGAGAATCGTACAAGGGTGATGGCAATAAGCACAATGGCAAAACATGGAACGACACAAAGGGGGGTCACAGGAAAAACAGCAGGAGGGTTGATACCTGCTTCTGCTTCTGCTTCTGGTAAAACAGCATGATGAACCAGATAAATTGCAAGAGAGTGATTAATCACTTGGTCACATCATCAGTACCTCAGGTTCAACACTTGTAAGACCACGATTCCTCCCCCACTCACATCATAAGCCCCATGCATTCCTGTGGTCCTGTTGCTGTCACGGGATGCAAGGCCTGCAATGGGCAGGTTTAAGGGGTGGAGGTGAGGGCATCATGAGTCCCATGCGATGCACCTCTCTTGCGATGTGGGTCAGGAGGAGCAAGGGGGAAAAGAAGCCACTTCTCTTCCCACAGCACCACCATCCACCCACCTGGAAGGAAGGCAGCAGTGCAGAGACCCCCTCTAAGAACGCCTCTGTTTCCCGATGCGCTTATCATTGTCGTAGCAGGTGGCATCCGGGGGAGGGTGCATGTGATGCACCTCCCATGTGAGTCCACGGCGAGTGGAAGAGAGGGCACACAGCAGCACAGCACCCACCTGGAAGGAAGGCAGCAGCGCAGAGACCCCTTCCAAAAAGGCTTCTGTCTCCCCAATGCGCTTATCAGTATCATAGCAGTTGGCGTCTGGGGGAGGGTGCATGTGATGCACCTCCCTCCCATGTGATTCAAAGGCACGCGGAAGAGAGAGCACACAGCAGCAGCACAACACCCACCTGGAAGGAAGGCAGCAGTGCGGAGACCCCTTCCAGAAAGGCCTCAGTCTCTCCGATGCGCTTATCGGTGTCATAGCAGGTGGAGTCTGGGGGAGGGTGCATGTGATGCACCTCCCATGTGAGGGGCGAGCGGAAGAGCGATGAGTCGAGGGCGAGCTGGTTGAAGAGGAAAGTGGTGCCTGTGCGGGGTAAGCCGAGGATGAATACAGGGGCCTGCTTATAACGGGGATAGGAAGGGCAAGAAGGAGGAGGCAGAAGAGCTATGTGTCGACGGCCAGGAGGTTGAAGAGGAAGGTCGTTCCTGTGCGGGGCAGACCCAAAATGGACACTGGGCCTGCTTATAACGGGGATAGGAGACGGAAGGAACAGAAGAGGGGGAAAGGCAAGGGCGAGCAGGTTGAAGAGGAAGGTGGTGCCTGTGCGGGGCAGACCCAATATGAACACAGGGGCCTGCTTGTAAGGGGTACAGGGGAGGCAGGGAGAGGGGATATAAGCAGAAGAGAGGAGGAGGGGGGAGGTTGAACAGGAAGGAAGTGCCTGCCTGTGAAAGGGCTAAGCCGCAAGGCCTAGGTCAAGACTTCGTCCCCTGAGTCAATGCAACAATCACTCGGTGAAAGGCCTAGACCATACCCACCCACACAACCACCCACCGGCCCACTCACTCCCTCCCTCCCGCCACCCACACGCACCTCAATCTTCTCCTCCTCTATCTCCGGGTGTCGCCTCCTCGTATCCTCCAGCTGTAACCGGTAGCGCAGCAGACGCTGGGAGGGGAGAGGGGGAAGAGAAGGGTAAAGGAGATTCAGAGCCGAGGGAAGAGAACAAGCGCGTGTGTGTGAGGAGTGCCTGTTCATGCGGAGGGGGAGGAGAGGTGGAGGAAGGGAGAGGGCAGAGAGAGGGGGAGAATGGACGGGGAATACATACTAGCTTTTGGTTTTGCATGCTTGCAATCTATCGATTGCAAAACCAAAAGCTAGTAATGCTAGTAATACAAGTAGCTAAGGAAACCAAAAGCTTCGATCAACTGTTGCATCATTGACTGCACCGTCCTCACCATAAAGTGTACCAGTATGTCATTTACTGTACCTGTATACTACAGGCCATGATTGCTGTAACACATCATATACTGAACATGCGCTCCGTTCACTGTACCTGCACATCGTTCCATATAAGAATCCTCCCAAACGCGCTCAGCCTCGCTTCCTCTTCGAGCCCCTTCAATAGAAGCCGCAGGCCCGTCAGGAACGTCCCCTCGCCATAGTCACGAAGCCCCGTGGCCTTGTACGCGGCGCGCAGCACGGCGCGTTCCTCTAACGGGAGCAGCCACTGCAGCAGGCGCGTCGCGAGCGGCGGGAGGAAGAGGAAGCCGCAGAGCGCGTCGACGAGCCGCGTGGCGAAGTTGACGAAACGGGCGAAGAGGGGAAGGAGGTAACGACGCATGGCGAAGGATCGCGCCAGTAACCAGGAATAACGACACAACAACGACCACTAAGGAGCGACGGAAAAGTAGTGGCGGAGAGAGGGGAAAGTAGTGGCGGAGAGACGGGAAAGGAACGACGAAACGACGGGAGCGACTATCGATTCCATGCTCGCGCCTTATTACTCTTCCCCGAAAACGTTTCGACGGGCGGTGGCGACGCCGCGTCGTTCGCTGTCGTTCAGTATCGTTCGCTGTCGTTCGCCGTCGTTCGCTGTCAGCAAGGCTCAATCGACACGACCATGTGTGGAGGACTTGGTGCATCCGCTCGGTTTGGCTCGGTTCGGCTCGATTGGGCTCAGTTCAGTTCGGTTCGGCTCGAAACCCCTCGGGCATCCGGAGATCCGCCATCGGAACGCACGAGAGGGGTGACGAGACGAGACGAGGCGAGGCGAGACGAGGTGAGGCGAGGCGAGGCGGGGCGAGGCGATGCCTCGACTCCGTTCGGTTCGGCTCGTTGGGCCATGTTGGCAAGCCGGCGACACGAGGACGGCTGACGAGGAGGGTTGTGGTGACGAAACGACGACGACGACGCTAACGGGCGACGAACAGCGTGCAGAGCATACGGCAGTGCATGCGCATGGACTCGCTAGCAACATCCTTCGCGACTCGGTGCAGGACATGCAGCATTAGCGCCGCGCACATATGGCATGCACAGTAGTCTCCGCAACAAAGCAAGCACCAAATAACTTACGTATTTACTGAGCGAGCACTGAATAACTCGCTTTACCTAGGCGAGCTTGATTGGGGGGTGGCTATCACCGTACGTCCGCAATATTATCGAGCCTCAATTGAGCGAAGGAGATTCAAGGAGAGCATATGAATACAGAACAAGTCGGATATAGTGATAACAATTACCAAATAGATACAAGCATCACACTAGCCTTGGTCTCTACCTATCAATTAGACTTGGGTCATGAATATGGCTAATATTCATCCACTTGACTAATGTAAACTGCAACGGTTCAGCAATCCCAAAGTTTTTATGGTAGAATTCAACCCTTACCTTCTTGGGCCCAACATTTCTCCTAGGGCAACTTTTGAATCCTGGTCGCTTCTTGAAAATAGGCGAACCCTTCATGACGCCCAGGTCGTTGCTGCCATAATAGAAGAATTTTGCTGAGTGAGCGGTTACGTTGATGTGCTGATGCGTATTTAATTTGGGTGCGTTGGGCAGCTTCCCCTCGCAGTAACGGTAATTCAACTCCGCATCTTTCACGTCGACCAACACCAGGTCGATGTAATTATTTGTGGGCAGCCCGCTGCACTTGCCTGTGTCCGTATCTTTTAATGTGCCTGCCGCGTTTGTGTTACACGTAACCCCGTTAATAGCGGTCTCGTTACAGATGCTCTTCATCCATGGCCATTTCTGCAAGGCATGAAACGAACAAGGGGAAAGGAAGAACAATGTGGATTAATTCCTGGGAGCAACAAACAGAACAAAGGAAACAGAGTGGTATACAGTTGTTGCATAATGGGATACCCGAACAGTGAAGAGGAGCTCTGTGTCTCCATAAGACTACTGATTGGTTTATAAGGGGTACACAATCCACCTGCTGGGAGGCAGCACAGTTGTAGCACCAGGAGCAGCGTCACATGGTGCTAAAAGATACCAAGTTGGCTTATAAGGGGGAAAAAACCCACCTGCTGAAACACGGCCCTGCTGCAGTACTTGGCGCGCATGTGGTCCCAGTAGTTGCCGAGGCAGTTGCACCCTATTGTCAAATATTTGAGAGTTTGCTTATCAGGGGTATAGAACCCACCTGCTGAAACACGGCGCTGCTGTAGTACTTGGCTCGCATGTGGCCTAGTAATTGCCGGGGTTGCCTATGGTGCTAACGAATTACCGAGTTGGCTTATAAGGGGCAAATACCTGCTGAAACGCGGCACTGCTGTAGTACTTGGCCCGCATGCGGTCCCAGTAGTTGCCGGGATCTTTGAGGCAATTGCACACCGTGGCAGTGAGGCACGTGCACCACCCTGGCGTGCCCTCCGTGCCCTTCATCACCACGTGCTCTATGCAGTTCCTGTGGGATGGAACAAGGGAGATAGGGAGGTGGAAAATGCCCAGTGTGTACGTGTACCCTTGGTTGCATGCACTAACTGCTTCGCACTGCTGACTCACCAATTTATACTGCTGACTCACCATTACTGCTTCACCAAGTACCATTGCTGACTCACCATTCCCCATTGCTGACTCACCATTTCCCGTTGTTGACCTTCATGCCATCCACCGTCCCGATACAAGCCCCTCCGCGTATAGTCACACCCGAGCTGGCATAGTCCAGGTAGTAGCAGTGGTCACCCCCGATTATGTAGTTGCACTCCGCCAAATTACCCGGGTTATTCCAGTGCGTTACAAAGTATATCCCCGTGGCGTCCCAACCCCCTGTGAGGTTCCGCCCTGCTGCCACAACGAGGTTGTTTGAAATGGTGCTCAGCATGCAGTCGCCCTGGGCGGCAGGAGAGGAGAGGAGAGAGGGGATGGGAGGGGACGGGCGGGAGGGAGTGGGGAGTGTTGGGGTTCCACCCTGCTGCTACAACAAGGTTGTTTGCGATGGTGCTCAGTATGCAACCAGTGAGGATGCAATGTGTGAGAAACCACGTGAGGAGACAGGCAGGTTCAGCCTCCCTCACGTGCCACACAGCCGCCTTCCCACACCTAAACCTTCCATGTGCCTTCCCTCACCTGCGAGTGAACCATGTTGCCACACGTGATTCCAGCAAATACAAAGTCATGCACGTAATTGTTCCTGACCACTGCTCCCACCGCGCCCACGTGTAGCAGCACTGGCATGTACGCGCCTAAAGGGGAGGGAAGAACAGCAGAGATGGGTGTGGAGAGGTGATAGAGCGCACAGGGTGAGGGCAGCAGGCACGAAGTTACGCACTTGATTGTTTTTAAACAATGCTCCAATGCACCACAACCAGACAACAAAGGCTCGTGCCATAGATGTTCTTGTTCGTGATGTAAATGCAGCCGCGCAGCAGCACGCAAGCACGGGATGCCATACCGCACTGCATCACACCATACCATGCCACATCATACCACACCACACCATACCTCATACCTTGAATCTCATTATTTATGACGTAGACCTGGCAGCACACCAGCAGAGGCCCGTATTCACACCGCACAGCATCACCTGTGACTGGTAATGTACACGTGACAGCAAGTAAGAGGTACCAACACCCACCGTACTGCACCATACCGCACCACACCACACTGCACCACACCACGCCCCACCCAATTACGTCTTGACCTCCTACCGTAGATCTCATTATTGGTGATGAACACTTGGCAGCGCACCAGCAGCGGTCCATACCCCGACAGCATCACACGGATGACTCCGTTGCCCCTCTTGAAGTCCGACACTGCCGTCATCTTCATGCTGTCAATGCGGCTGTGCATGGTCCGAAGCATATCGACCCGACCAAACGTGTAGCCCTGAGGTAAGGGGAGGAGGGGGTGCAAGCATGACCGTGTTGCCCCTCTTGAAGTCCGACACTGCTGTCATCTCCATGCTGTCGATGCGGCTATGCATCGTGCGAATTACGTCTACCCGCCCAAACGTGTAGCCCTGAAGGTGTGGGGGAGGTGGGAGGAGACCATGTGCCTTTTCAAAAAGTGCCTTTTGAGTTCGACTCATTACAATTGTGCATGGTGTTGGAACGATCTCCACGGTCGTAACTTAATGAGCAGACTCAGCATGAGGATGAGGTGACTTTTGAGTTGATCCAAAAGTCACCATGAGCAGACTCACTATGAGGATGAGAGGGCGCAATGGTTGGAACACCACAGGAGCATTGTCAGCCTCTGTACTCGTTACAGACAGACTCACCTTGACGATCTGAATGCCGTAGGAGCGGTAGACGTGGATGAGAGGGCAGATGATGTCTGTGCCCACTTCAGGAATCTCCTTCGGGCACGCTGGTGAGTTGGCTCGGAACGGCTGCGACATCTGAATATAGGAGGATGTGAGGAGAGCGATGGGCGAGCAGGGAAGAGGGGGGAATACACACTTGGGTATCGCATAGGGGATCTCCTTCGGGCACGCTGGCGAGTAGGCTCGGAACGGCTGCAACATCTGTGAGGGGAGAGGTAGAGGGTTGCAGTAGAGAGGGTAGAGGAGAGGAGCTGGGCGATTAAAAAGGGTGTTTGGAAAACGGGGCATGCGGGCGAGTAGGCTAGGAACGGCTGTGGCATCTGTGAGTGAGCCACACCACACCACACCACACCACACCACACCACACCACACTGCACAACACAACACCGCACAGCACCATGACCTCACCTGCACGCGCTCCACAATCACGTTGCTGGTGTCCCACACCCTCAGCAGTGGCTCATCCACGCGATGCACGTGCAGCCGATACCCCTCCCTGTTACCTAAACGCCACTGCACAGGAACCTCACTCTGCTCTGCAGTACCACACAGCACCACACACCACCGAATACCACATCACCACACCACACAGAACCGTACAGCACCACTCTCGACCCACCTGCACGTGCTGCACAATCACGTTGCTGGTGTTCCACAGCCTTAACAGCGGCTCATCCACCCGATGCACGTACAGCCGATACCCCCTCCCTTTGGCGCCCCTGCGCGACCGCAGCACGGTGCACGCATACTCCGGACCAAACAGCAGCCCTCGGTTCAGAGTGAGGTGGTTTTGAAGCTCAAGAATAACGGTGGTGGAGGGAGGGTGCCTGGTGCGCTTGGTGAAATCGGACTCTCTTGTCACGCGGATGTGCACGGCTGAGGCCAGGGGCGAGCACGCTGATCCGCCTGCAAGAGGGGAGAGGTGGATGGGGAGGAAAGGTGGGGGAAGAGGGAGGGTGCCTGGTGCGTTTGGTGAAATCAGCCTCTTTTGTCACGTGGATGTGCACGGCTGAGGCCAGGGGGGAGCACGCTGACCCTCCTGCAACAGGTGATAGGGATGGTATCAGCATGTGTCAGCATGTATTACAGGCAAAGAGGAAAGAGCTGGAGATGTGACTTCCGGTACATATGCGCAAGTTGGGGGTCGGTGGCGTGGTGGGAGGATGCTGTGGGGGAGAGAGTGGGGGGAAAGGAGCAGGTCAGTTGGGAGGATACCTGGAAACCACTACAGAGCAGGAAAACGCCTGAGCACCTTGCGGAGTAAATATGTGATGAATTGGGAGTTGCTGACGTTCTAGATGGACTGATTTTCTACCAGGCATGTGTGCAGATGGTGTTTTTTAGAACTCTCGGGGTGTGTATGAAACATGAACTGACAACATCCACCCCAGGGGCTGATCTGCGACTCACCTTGCTTGGCAGCAACAGCAGCTGCAGGAACCGAAGCAATGCCAGAAGGGTGAGGTTCGGCAGCAGATCCAGGCTCCGCAGCAAGCCACGCTGCACGTACAGGACGAGGCTCCAGCGCCAGGGACTCCTCCAACCAAGCCATCGTTGCAGGCTCGGAACGAACCTGCTGCTTCAGCCACGGATTCATCCACTCCTGAGGCTCGGCCCATCGCAAAAGCTGTGGCTGTGCCTGTTCCTGTTCCTGTGCCTGTGGATGTAAGTGTGAATGTGCGTGTGCGTGGTGTGACAGTAGGGAAGGTGAATCTGACTGTGACTGTATTTGCACGGATTGTGGAGTGTCCGCAGCGGATCCGTAACCATCCTCGTTAGCTGATTCGATACTAGTATTACTCCGATGCCACAAGCCATGTGGATGCAGGTGGTACAGCGACGGATGGCGGGATGTGTCGTGAAACGCGCTCCTGTGAGCTGTGATGAGGGCAAGCAGGGGAGAGAAGGGCGAGGAGGGGGAATGAAGGGATGAACAAGAGTAATCCGAAATGAGCATTCTAGCTACCTTCACAAAACTCTTGCATCATCTTCAGACATCGCCTTCTTAAAATTCTCCACACCTCCTTCCCCCCCATGCCCAACCTCCCTCCCCCTCCCTCCCTCCCCCCCTCTCTCCCCCCACCCCCGCGTTAAACTCTCTTCTCTGAACTTTACTCGGAATCTAAGATCAGCATCTGGCCATTCACCTGCGACTCGGGCTGGCGCCATATCCGAACGCTGAGTGACAATGCAGAGCGCGAGGACGATCGTAAGACGGCCCAACCTCGATATAATTACTTCTGATATCGGCTTTGTCCACTGCACTCCCTTCCGGAAGTCGTGCTCGCGGCGTTGTGATAACACTTTTCTCCGCAGCCTCGTGCGAACCAGGCGAAGACGAGCGTGAAATGGGTTTCCAGACGAGAATTCATCGCCAACCGTCCGATCATGATGGCCCCTGGATTGACTTTGAAGTCGCCTTTTGCTACCACTGCTACGGGTCCTACCAATCATTGGGTCTGGCTTTAGCGACCGAGCCTGACGGTTAGTATCGGATTACAATCCTTTTAAGACGACTTGAAGTTCACCCCGAGCCTGATTGATTGACTGATCAGAGCGAGGGGAAACTGGCTGTTGGCTCGCTCGAATTCAGCTCATTCGCTCGCGTAGAGAGCTTCGAGTCTGACTCAGGTGGAGTCTGGCTTGCATAATGCTTTTCGCATTTGTTGGCTCGAGCTCTCGTTCAAAGAACCCAATGGTCAATAATACCGAAGGATGCCGCGTCATGCGCCTACTTCGAGTCTAGCACGACGCACGACTCGGCGAAATCAGCCATTCCTTCTGCTCGTAGCCTTCATCGCGGGACTCTAACGTAGGAGAGAGAGATAGTCGTCGTCTTTCTCGATCCACACCATCCACAAATGGCCAGTCCAACAAGGGCTTCATGGAGCTCGCTCCTTGGTTCAGGAGGTTTGACGAGGAATAAATGCCGGGCATTGTCGCAACACGAGCGTGCTGAAACGAGCTGCAGCGCGACAAGTGCGTGTGTATGTGTCTGTATGGATTATGTGTGTGGGGGCTGGAACAGTAAAGAATGGCCACCATAGGTATGTCGTTCCCAAATATGAATCGCAAATCCTATTTGGACGAAACACACAACACAACATACCTCCAGCCCAGCATGGCAGAATGTGCTCCACCAACTAGCCTTTGGCGGCAAACGCTTGATTTGTTACCCGAGCACTAGGGCACACCACGCGACAGTGCAACCTTGCGTTTCGTGTACGTGTACACGAATATTAACGACATGCTTTCGTTCGTCATTTGTCGCTGACCACCGCGAATGATGGCCTTGGGCAATGCACAAGCACCAAAGGTGGCGTGGCAGATAAATCAGGCTGGAGGGCTGCCCCGTAGCCCGGATGTGCTGTTGGTTTGGTCACCATTTCCAACCGAACCTTGGCCTGCTCCCTGCAGCAATTGCGGTGCGGAGAGGGGGCGGTGGGCTGAGCCCGTGGTGGCCTGTGGTTTGCCTTACTGCGAACCACTGTGAGCACGCAACTCATAATCCTTGATACAACCACCCCTGAACAATTTACAAGTGACAGACCTTGAAGACGTCCACCACTATTGCACAACATAGCATAAAACAAGACACCCTGCCTAAGTATTCAACCAGAAAAGCTCATACCCCCACCATACCATCCACATTCATGGGACAAGCAAGCTGAATCCTTCTGCTTCCGATGTGATGTTGCTGAAGAAAGATGAACGCCCATGCAGCACGCGAGATTGCTTGCTGAATCATTTTGCTTCCAATACTGATTGAATGCACAATACACAACAGGGGTATGGGCTATGACACAGGCCAGCATACTTCCCCATTTTGCATTGGGCAAGGCCATCCGCGATAAAAGGTGCGGGCTAACCTGCTCATAGACTTGCAGGTTAGCATGGCCAACGGAATACAAGCATTGGGCTAGAAAACTCGCTACTCAATGTCAAGAAAATCCATCTGCTTCCTCAACATTCCCTTGAGCTCGGATGCTTCTTTTTCCTCTTTCTGGGCCTACAAAGAGCAAGGGAGGAGATTCCGTGTCATACAAACAATACACCAGAACTTGATGCAGCAAGCAGATTATGAGGGCTTCACATACCTGTCGAATCTGTTGTAACGAAACGGAAACCATATTAGGAGGCATTTCTGGCATGTGCTCGTCCTGAAAACAAGGCATAAATCACAATCAGCGAATAACTTCAACGAGGAACGACGAACGAAGAGAGGCAAGAATCATACTAACTTACAAGTGTGCCTATCAGAACGACGTTCTCTCCTCTGATAATGTACAGTCCCAGAGGCAGGTCGCAGTATTGCTCGCCGACAACTATCCGCTCAGTCGTACGCTCCAGCACGAGATTAGCTGCTCACAAAAACCAGCAACATCGATAAGGTTGGTGGAACTGCATACGAGAACGTAAGCTTAGGAATGACCTGAGTGCCACCCACGTACCGAATTGGTCGAAAGAGCGCAGGATACCAATTATTTTACGTCCATCTCTAAGAACAACGAGTAGCTTCTCTGCCAGTACAAACGTAAATAATCGTCAATCACGAATTTCTGTGAGGTGGAATTATCGGCCAAAGCGAGATGCTTACTGTCTAGCTCCTCAACAAGGCTCGACGTCCCAGGCAGAAATGGCAACCCCGCCCACGACATGCCCGGGATTTGTCGCCGCCGCTACGATCCTTGGCTGATTACTTCAGCCGGAAACTATGTGAACGGCAACCATTGAGCGAGGGGAGATTAGTGGGCAAACTCGTAAGCGACACGGCTCGCGGGTAACGAACAGGAGAAGATCACAGGAACCCTAGTTTCGGATTGCTAAACGTAAGGAAGGCTTTCGGGGATGGACTTTGCACTTGACTCTGGTACAGTAAATAACAAAGTGAAATGTATAGATTTGGGGAGTTTCCACTAGTGATAATAGAGCTTTCAAACCAGACCAACCAAACACCCTCAATAAATGTACTAACGAATTGTATATACATGCAACGCACAAATATTGTATTGAAAACACATGGCAACAACATATACTTATCTATGGATACCCAACGGATAGAAAGTGGACCAGGAAGGCACCAAAGGCTACAACCATCAGAGCTACAATGTATGACACCCCAAGTTCAATTCCTCTAGTGCCTGTCCTAAAATGAACCCACAAGTTCAGAGAGTTTCCAGGAGGCTCCATTCTTATCACAACACAATCATCACCACATTCACTTGCTGATGCTTGCAACCATGCCTGGACTGCAAACCTAGCTGCACAAACACGAGAGCCCCCGCATACAGCTTCAGATAACGATGCAGCATAGGAAGCAGCTGCTGGCGAATGATGATGCACAGCCTTCCTCATAATAGCAATAGAAACTGGCGAATAGTCCCTGAAAATAGAGAAAAAAAAAAAGTGAGAAAAGAAGAATGAAGTGCAGACTTGTGGCTGAGTGTCTTCAGTAGACGAAATCTTACCCAGGCATTCCCATGCCAGAGACGAAGGCCGCGACCAAAGAGACAGACAGTAGCAGCACAACAATACACAGCAATATGGGTTCGCGAATCCAAATGGGTACTCCCCGAAACCTCGCGTTCAATGCCTGCAGTGCAGCTACGACCACTCGTATGACTCCCTGTGCTGCCCTATGTAGCGTTGTCGCCACATAAGAGAATGCAATCCGCCCGTCTGATGCAACGGAGTTTGGTCTTGGGTTAGGAGGTGATATTCTGAGTGAGAATGGGAGGGATCTCGCAGGCCCTGAAGCATGTATTGGGCTGGCCATGCCAACGAAATCAGTTCACACCAGCAAGATCACTAGGGTTCCACAATGGGAAGGCGATCAATACTGGAACAAGGCCCCAAAGGAGCCTGGAGTATCCTTTTGAAAAAAAAATGCTGGGATGAGACCCAAAAAGGATGCGCGAGCATTCAGGAATCAATCACGAGTGTGGATACGTTAGAGTCGTCCGCCGTGTACCAGGTCTCCAGCTTTTCAGCTTAGGCCTAAAGTGCACGGGTCTAAGCGCTCGCATAACGCCATTCGTGCGTGCGGAACCATGTTTCCCAGCCATTGTTTGGCTCCCAAGACGCCCTTGGCTGACGACAGTCGGCCGTCAAGCGAGCAACTGCAGGCGCGCATACAGACGCGAGACGAGGTAAAGAGCAGGATGACGCCCTAGTGACCCAAGGACAATCACTGGTTCTGCTTTTCCTCCACCTTTTTGCTGATGGCATTCAACTCGGTTGTGGAAAACCTTTGGATTCGTTATTGCGTATCTCGTACAAGGATGATTCCAGCGGTAATGTATAAGTTGTTGAGTTCGTGACATTATCCAGAAGAGCAGCATATAACATCGGGACTCCCGCCAGTTTCAGTTCAGACGGTTCAGACCAAAGGTCTGACGAATTTGAAAGTACTTCCCGCCAAATTCTTGAAGCAGTTCCCTAGGGTCTGCCTGCCACCAATCAGAGCAAACCACACGAGGCAATTCTGTTCGTATAGATCCCAAGGTTTCCAGTTCCCTGCGACTCGTTTGAAACTTGTGCTTTAGTTCCCGAGATGGCACGGTTCCAAACGGTTCCATCTGATTCAAGCTGTTTCAATGCGGCACTCCCCATCTTCGCTCTGTGGCTGATCAAAATTGCAAGCAGGCCTGCCATTCACAAGGTCATTCAGGGAAACAGCAAGTCTAGTCAACCTTTGTCACTCAGGCTGTGCTTTCCTTCCATCAGGGTTCAACTGCCAAATTAGCAAGGACTGGAGTCCGCGTAATGCGTAGAAGGCAGTAGCGTTGCACCTCTCGTGCAGGACACTAGAATTCAGACTCGCTTTGTCAAGAGGTAAATTCCATAAGTCGTGTTGCTGGGAAAATTCCAAAGCATGGAGTTTAGGATTCCGAAAAATCTGGATGACCTCGAGCAGAATGACGACGAGTCCTCAGGGTGTCTCCACGCCACGGATGTAGCAGAAGCGGCGATTGAGCCCAACCTTGTCAGAGGTACTAATTTTCTTCTAAGCTGACAGCATGGATCTTCCACCTTCACTGTCTTTCCAGATACTTTTTTAGGGTGTTAATCGGCCACAGATTGTTATTTTGACGGTATTGCGGTATTGGTCGTGCAGAAATCTCCCGTGAGCTCGGGGAGAAGGACCTCTTTTGTGTGCAGGAGCAAGAGACATTCAACAAATTATACTCGGCTGTCAAGTATGTCACCTAGGCAGAGTAGATATAACAGGCCACACGCATCCGTTTCTTACCTTACGTTGCTTTCTGACTAACTTTGTATTAGCTTCCAAACCAGCTTCCTCCGTCAACTCTTAACCCGTTTTCAATGAATCGTGCTCATATCTCCTCTTTCGCACTCCACCGTAAACTCTCTGCAGGTGCTTTGACCAGCTGGATTCCTCGTCCAAGGACCTTCTTATCGACTCCTTGGCGACGAATCTTAGCTGCCTCGTTCCATCCATCGCATCATTCCTCGCGTCGTCTTCCGGCAGCTCCTCCACGTCAGCGGCTGACGCTGACGTGTCCACATCAGGGCCGTCGATCAGATCCTACAAGAACTGCATCAAGATTTACAGCTACTTCCTCGCGTGTATCGTCAAGCACGCTGCTCTCGCTAAGGCGACGGAAAATGCCGACCGCCCTGCTCAAAAGGTAAGGCATTCTTCCTCGCCCCAGGTAATGAAATTTTAGACTCAATTCGTTTCCCTCGAGGCGCGAACTTATTCCAGACCAACAATAATTTCACCTCATTTGCATCTGCTCGTCCTTGGTCATTGCTCCTTCCTTGCTCCCTCCTCGTTCCTTCCTCCTTCGTCCCCTCAGGGGGGTCGCCAGTCGCGGAGGAAGGCGGTGGTGTCGCACTCGTGGGAGTGGCAGCGCCAAATGCCCAAGGTGCTCAAGGCGCTCGCTACAGCCACATCCGTTAAGCTCAGCGCTCTCTACCACGGCTCAACGCCAGAAGAGAGCCTTATGGAAGCTTACTGCAGTCTGGCGTTCACGCTCTTCGACGATGCCGAATTGCTCAAAAACGGGGATGTGCGCGCGCCGCTCGTGCAGATCGTGGCGCAGTGCGCCGTGAAGCAGGGGTACCTGGTGCAGGTGGTATCTGGCCTTCTGCATCTGCTGCATCACCAGAAGCACTCCCCCGATATAGTCACGGACGTGGTGGTGTACGCGGATGAGCACCTGGGACAGGCGAGACTGGCGGCGGCGGTTCTGCAGGACGTGGGGAGGACAGGGCTGAAGGAGTACAGCCGCGCGAATAGTGGCGTGCACGAGGTGAGTCTGCGGTTTTGTTGAATGAGGTGTTCGCCCTTCGAGATCCCTCGGGTGGTGGAGATCCCTCGGGTGGTGGAGCCCCTCGTCGTTCCATCCGACAAGCAGCCTCCCCTGCTCGCCGCCTCGTTTCCCTATTTGGCGTCAGCCACCCAAACACGCTAACCACCTTCCCCATGCTCCCCTTTATTCTCTCTTTTCTCCTCCCCCCTGTCTCTCTTGCACATCAGGTGGCGGAGTTCCTCGTCGGCCTCGCCAACAAGCAGCCTCGCCTGCTCGCCGCGTCCCTGCCGCTGCTAGTGCCGCACCTCGAGCACGGGGAGTCCGCCGTGCTCCGCTGCGCCATCGTCACCGCCATCAGCCGCCTTCTTGCGCGCCTTTACTCCGCCGACGCTGGCGCAGCGCCTGGCGGAGCGGGGTCTGCGCCAGGAGACGGGGGTGCGGAGGGGGAAGCAGAGGAGGGGGATGAGGCTGGAGAGGGCGGAAGGGATTCCGTGGAGGAGGAAGGCCCCGCGGCGAGGGGCGCGATGCGCGCGCGGCTGCAGCGGCTGCGGAGCAAGCAGGGGCTGCTGGCGGTGCTGATGGAGCGCGCGCGCGACCAGTCCGCGCACGTGCGCAGCCGCGTGATGCAGGCGTGGGCGTGGCTGTGCGGGGAGAAGGCGGTGCCTCTGGGGCACTGGAACGCGGTGGCGGAGCTGGCGGTGGGGCGGCTGGAGGACAAGTCGTCGCTTGTGCGGAAGAACGCGTTGCAGGTGAGAGGGCGAGGGGTGACTGTCTGCCGCTGGGGGTTGGGTGGTTTGAGAGAGTGGGTGGGGGGGGTGACTGTCTGCCTCTGGGGCACGGGAACGCGGTGGCGGAGCTGGCGGTGCGGCGGCTGGAGGACAAGTCGTCGCTGGTCAGGAAGAACGCGCTGCAGGTGAAAGAGCAAGGGTTTGGGGTGGTGGGGAGTGGTGGGGTGGTGCCCTCCCCGATTTGGGGCACTGGAGCGTAGTCACCTGCTCTAACAAGACCTGTTGCTCTGGCAAGTGACTGTATTGGGTTGTGGCTATTTGGGATGTTGCTGCTGTGGGTGAACCATGGATTGACGGAAGTGGTGGGTTGATGCCTCCACGCCTGTATGCACACCTGTCCTCATGTGCCTCTTTTCTTACCACCCTTCGGGCCCCTCTTTCCCAAAGGACCCCTGGAAAAGGCTCGTTTTTTTTCCTGGTAGTCATGCGCTCCACACTCCTCTCCACCACTGTCCGCCACTCCGAACCCCTGTCAACATCTCGTGGATGAGATGCTTCACTAGCGATTGGGCCCCTTCGAGGTCACCCTCATGGCATGCATGCCTCTCACATCACCACTCTCCACGACTCCCAACCCCTCGTAACAGCTCTTGGGCGAGATGCTTCACCAGAACCCGTTTGGCCCGAGTTTGCGAGTGGCACCCTTCGAGGTCACGCTGGAGAAGGCGCGTGTGGAGCTGGCAGCCATGGAGGAGAGCCGCCGGCGCGCCGAGCAGCAGGAGGCCAGGGAGGGAGACGAGGGCGACGGTGATGGAGAGGGTGAGGGCGAGGGTGAGGGGATGGAGGGTGCAGGAAATGAAGGGGCAGGAGCAGCAGTGGAAGTGGGGGAATCTGAAGGAGGAGTGGGTGATGATAGTTGGGTGGACTCCCAGGCCACCCAAGGGGACGGGGAGGGGGAGGGAGAGGGAGGCAAGGCAGGAGGCGCTGATGGTGGTACTGCAGAGGGGCTTCCAGACGGAGCTGCTGGGGCAATAGGCGTGGCAGACGCAGCAGGCGTGGCAGGCGCAGCAGGTGCAGCAGGGAAGGCGGTGCTGGGGCGGTCGTTCGGGGTGGAGCAGACGCGCACGCTGGTGGCGTCGCTGAGCGCGGGGCTGCAGTTCTGCCGCCTGCTGGCGGCCGTCACGGGCGCGCTGGCGGGCCTGCTGGGGTCGAGCGCGGTCTCGGACGTGGAGGGCGCGATCCTGCTGCTCACGGCGCTGCAGCACTTCCGCGTGGATGGGGCGTGTGAAAGGCTCAAGAAGATACTGCCGCTGGTGAGATACGAGCGTGGGTAAACAGGAGCGGAAGAGTGGATCAGACTGGGAGAAGGAAGAGGGTGCAGGGAAAAGGGTGGAGAAGTGAGAAGAGGCAGGTGGTCGCCCACGTCGGCAGTAGTGGAGGCGGCAGTGCTGGAGCTGCATGTGAAGAATCACGCCTCAAACTTTTCCGTGCCTTCCACTTACCCCTCTGTTCCATTCTTCTCAGGTCTTTTCTCACGACCCAGCAGTGCGAGCAGCAGTGGAGGCGGCAGTGCTGGAGCTGCACGTGAAGGGGCGAGCCTCACCCTTTTTCTTCCTTCCTTCCCCATCCCCATTACAGGTATTCTCCCACGACCCAGCAGTGCGAGCAGCAGTGGAGGCGGCAGTGCTGGAGCTGCACGTGAAGGGGCGGTCAGCGCAGCAGGCAGCGCGCAGCCTCGTGGCTCTCACGCACGGCGCCTCCTCTGGCGACCTGGCGGCGCTGGAGGTGCTGGTGGGCACGTTCGTGCACAACGGAGACGTTACCATGCAAATGGTGAGTAGACAAGCCGATTCACTTGTGATTTCTTCAAATCACTGCTTTTATGAGGAGCCAAGGAATTCTTCTGGCGATCTGGCGGCACTGGAAGTGCTGGTGGGCACGTTCGTGCACAACGGAGACGTCACCATGCAGATGGTGAGTGAGATGAGCTAATAGACTAGTGACTCTTTTCTTATCCCTTCTGTTATATGCTCTTTTGAGGAGCCTAAACGACTCCTCTGGCGACTTGGTGGCGCAAGTGCTGGTGGGCACGTTCGTGCACAACGGGAGACGTCACCATGCAGATGGTGAGATGGAAGGGGGAGCATTGGGGCAAAGGGTGTGATAGAGAGGGATGACTGTGTGGGTGGTGGTAAAGCAAGGCAACAGCAGCTTGTTCTAGGGAGCTGCAGCTCTTTTGTAATTTATCACCCCTGGCTTTCGCTTATGTTGCTGTTTCTGTTTGACGTTGCATTGTGTAGTCATCCCTGCCCTCCGTTTCCAAAACCCTTGGATACTTCTCTCTTTCCTCCTCTCTCCCTTCACCCATTCTCTCCACCAGGTGGCCATCCTGTGGGACATATTCACTTTCAACCTTCCCGGAGCCACGTCAGCAGAGAGCACAGGCGCGCTCATCCTCCTCTCCATGGCAGCGAAAACCCGCCCAGAAATTCTCAACCACCATTTGAGCGCGCTCCTAGCCATAGGCCTAGGCAGACGGGCTCAGAGCGACCCTCTCCTCGCTCTCTACACCTGCATCGCCCTGCAAAGGGTTTCTGAGGAGGCTAGGAAGGAGATGGGGGCGGGGCACCGGGTATTTGCGCTGCTTGAGGGGGTTATTTCGGGTAGTTCGTTGGAATTACCTGAAAGGGCGAGGTATGGGGTGATAGAGCAGGCGGTGAGGGCGGTTTATGTGTTGCATCCGGCTCCAGAGAGGTACTGTGGCGTGCTGCTGAAGAAGCTTATAAAGGGGATGTTTGTACGGGGTGCTGCTGTGACGGGTGGAGGAGGGAGTGGTGGGGGAGGAGGAGAGGGTGAGGGGAGGGAGGGTAGTTGCGTGAGTGGTGTTGTGGACGGTAGTGGAGAGGGTGGTAACGGGGGCAAAGATGGTGGCGGAGGAACGAGTGGGGAGGAGGGAGTGACAAGCAGCAATGGGGATGCCAAGGATGCCGCTGCTGATTCTGATGCTGATGCTTCGGGCACTAGCGCAAGCGGTGCTGATGGTGGTGTTGACAGTGCTGATGTCCCTGCTGCTGCCGCCGCTGCCACAGCTACTGCTGGTAGTGGGAGTGAGAGAGGCTTTGAGATGACCCTAAAGAGATTCGACGCTGCAAAGCTTTCAACTTTCGTTTTTGTGACCGGGCAGGCGGCCCTAGAGCACCTGGTCCACGTGGAGAGGCTTGTGCGTCGCATCCGGGCAGCCCGGGCAGCGAAGGAAAAAGCCGCAGCTGAGGCAGCAGCAGAAGCCATGGAGGCCGGCCTGAGTGGGAAACAAGCAAAGGCAAGCAGGAAGAGCACTGGTCGGAAGAGTACAGTCTCTGTGACAGGGAAGAGGAGAAGCGTCGCTGCCACCCCTGCAGCGTATGAGTACGAGAGTGAAGAGGACGAAGCGGGCGTGGAGAGTGTGGATGTGAGGGAGGAGGAAGAGGAGCATTTGGGTGATGGAAGGGAGGATAAAATGGGGGAGGAGCTGGGGACGGCAGTGACAGCAGACGCGCAGCTAGAGGCGCTGCAGGAGCAGGTGGAGGGGGAGATAGTGGCCATGGAAAAGGGGCTGGAGAGGAGGCGGGGCGAGGGGAGGGAGTACCTGGTGGGGCGGGTGGCGTGGTTTGTCTCGGCGCTGTGCCGGCGGCCTCAGGCGTTTGCAGCGAGTCAGGGCGTGTATGTGTGTGCGGTGCTCTCGCTGTCCAAGCTCATGGCCATCGACAGCCACTTCTGGTAAGCCTTCCCTTCAACACTTACCTTCACTCACCTTGTCTTTGGATGATTTCATTTCCACGAGTGTATGTGTGCGCGGTGCTCTCGCTGTCCAAGCTCATGGCCATCGATAGCCACTTCTGGTAAGCAATCCTTGCTCACCTTTACTCACCGTCACTCGTCTACGCTCAGCATGACTCACCTTCACTCTCCTTCACTCACTTGAGTTAACTTGACTACCCCTGATCCACCTTGACTCACCTTGACTCAACTTGACTCACCTCCTCTCCTCCCTTCTCCCCCATCCCTGCCCACCTGCAGCGAGTCCCACCTGCAGCTGCTCTTCACACTCCTCCGCACCCATCCGCACCCCTCAGTGCGCGCCAACGCCATGGTGGCTCTGGGAGACCTGGCTCTGCGCTGCCCCAACCTGCTGCAGCCGTGGACGCCCCATGCGTACACCGCTCTCAGCGATGGGGATGCCTTTGTGCGCAGGCAGGCGCTGCTGGTGCTCTCCCATCTCATTCTCAACGACATGATGAAGGTGGGCCACACAGTTTGCGCACGGTTTTGATGGGATATCATAGGGTACAGAGCTCTGCGCAGGGCTGCTGGGTAGGGCCCTGGGCGATCTGGCCTTGCGCTGCCCCAACCTGCTGCAGCCATGGACGCCCCACGCGTACACCGCTCTCAGCGATGGGGATGCCTTTGTGAGGCGGCAGGAGCTCCTGGTCCTCTCGCACCTCATCCTCAACGATATGATGAAGGTGGGCCTGGGTTCATTGCTTGACAGGTACGCTATAGTTTTATGGGATAACGTGGGGTACAGAGCTCGGGCCTCCTGAGTAAGGCTCTGGAGCTTGGGCCCTGGGGCCTGGGCCCTGGGAGACCTGGCTCTGCGCTGCCCCAACCTGCTGCAGCCGTGGACACCGCATGCGTACACCGCTCTGAGCGATGGGGATGCCTTTGTGAGGCGGCAGGCGCTCCTGGTCCTCTCGCACCTCATTCTCTACGACATGATGAAGGTGAATTGTCATCGCAGTTGTGGTCTCATATGCTCTGTTCTTGGGTACGTATTTTGTGTGGCCGTAGGCGTGGCAACTCATCCAGTGCTCTCTCCAGTTTGGTAGTGTGTCTGGAGGACCCTTACCTTCTCATATCTCCTCTTATCTCCCCCTCCTTTGCTCTTATTTCTCACTTCCGCACTCCTCCACGTCGCCCTTCTCTCCCACCACGTCAGGTGAAGGGGCACATCAGCAGCTTGGCGGTGTGTCTGGAGGACCCAGAGCTGCTCTCATATCTCCTCTCATACCCCCCTGTTTCACTCCCGTTTCTCCCTACCCCGTTCCCACTCCCCTCCACGTCAGGTGAAGGGGCACATCAGCAGCCTGGCGGTGTGTCTGGAGGACCCAGAGCCGCGCAACGCTGACCTCGCCCGCCTCTTCTTCCACGAGCTCTCCAAAAAGGGTGAGACGGGCCTTCCACTCACTACCCTCTACTCTACTTTCTCTACCCTCCCTCAAGTTCCACTCTCTACCCTCTACTCTCCACTCTCTACCCTCCCTCTATCCTCAAGTTCCTCTCTGTGTCCCTAACCTCGCACTTGCTCATTGACAGGTCCATCCTCCACCCACCCATCCCACTCCACCCCTTTCTTCTATCCCCTCACTCCATATGCTCCTCCGCACAGGCGGTCAATCCACGCCTCTCAGAGGGACAAGGGTGTTTCACAAGCTCACCCTCCATCCCACGCCACCCCACCCCACCCCACTCCCCTCTCTTTCTCCCCGCCCTCCCACCCCCCCAGGCTCTCGCTGGTCTACAACCTTCTCCCCGACATGCTGAGCCACATGGCGGTGAATCCGCGCCTCTCAGAGGGAGGAGTGTCATTGTCAGGCTCATCTTCCACCAAATCTCATCCCACTCCAACCCCTCCCTTCCTCCCCTCGCCCCAGGCTCCTCGCTGGTCTACAATCTCCTGCCCGACATGCTGAGCCACATGGCGGTGAATCCGCGCCTGTCAGAGGGGGCTGGGCCCCTTCACATGCTCACAATCCACACCACTCCACCCTCCCCCTTCTCTGCTGTCCCCCCAGGCTCCTCGCTGGTCTACAACCTCCTGCCCGACATGCTGAGCCACATGGCAGTGAACCCGCGCCTGTCAGAGCCCTCGCTGCACGCCATCCTGCGCTTCCTCATCGCCTTCATAGACAAGGACAAGCAACGCGAAGGGCTCATTTACAAGCTCTGCCCTCACTCTATCCGTCCCCTCTCCCCCCCCCTCCCTCCCCCACTCGCCCCATGCTCTGCCCCCACCCTGCCCCTCCATCGGCGATCCCCCCCCATTTGCTCTTTCCCTCCCACCCAGGCTCCTCACTGGTCTACAATCTCCTCCCTGACATGCTGAGCCACATGGCAGTGAACCCGCGCCTGTCAGAGCCCTCGCTGCACGCCATCCTGCGCTTCCTCATCGCCTTCATAGACAAGGACAAGCAGCGCGAGGGGCTCATTGACAAGCTCTGCCACCGCTTCACCAACGCCCACCCCGCCTCCTCCTCGGCTGCTGCGCCTACTACTGCTGCTTCTGCTGCTGCTTCTACCAACGTGGTTCCTGCTGGTGCTACGGCTGTTGCTTCTACTGTCAATGGCGCTACCAGTGCTGCTGATGCCGAATCTGTGTCTGCCACTTCTCCCGACGTGGTTCCTACTGCTGCTTCTGGTGAAGGCATCAGCACCAACAGCACCAACAGCAGCGACAGCAGCGACAGCAGCGACGACAGCGGCACTACCAAGAGCGCCAGTGGTAGCAGCAGCAGGGGGGGCAGGGACGGCAGGGTGCAGCAGCAGCGCATGGTGGCGTTCTGCCTCTCCCTGCTGCCCATCTCCGAGCGTGGGGCACGGCGGCTGATGGACAACTACAAGGACTTGAAGGACGCCCTGGGGGACGCCGCTGTGCTGGAATACCTCAAAACCTCCACTGGCAAGGTGCGTGTCTTGTGGGGCTGAGGGAATTGGAGAGGTTTGAGGAGTTTAACTGCAGTTTATATGCGTTCCCTAACCCCCATTGGCAAACCCTCACCCGGCAAAGAAGTTTAGCAAAGCCGGAGATGAGGGAGGAGGTGGAGAGGTTTGAAGAGCGTGCCTTCATCTCACATTCCTTCTCCCAACGCCCACCCCGTCTGTGGCTCTGTATGCGTGTGCTCTCATCAGGCGAAGAAGTTTGCAAAGCCAGAGCTGAGGGAGGAGTTGGAAAAGTTTGAGGAGCTGATGGGGAGGACGCACGAGGAGAAGAGGGAGGAGGAGGAGGCGTCTGCTGCTGCTGCTGCTGCCATCGCTGCCAAGGCTGCTAAAGCCGCTGCCAAAGCTGCTGCCAGGGCTGCTGCTAGGGAGGCTGCTGAGGAGCCTGTTAAGGAGGCTGCTGGTGGCGAGGATGGTGGGGATGCTGGTCCTGGAGATGTGGAGAGTGGTGGTGCTGGTGAAGAGGGGGAAGTGGGAGAGTTTACGGAGTGTGATAGTGGCGTGGAGGAGAGTCAGGGGGGGAGTGAGGAGGAGGATGAAGAGGTGGAGGAGGTGGGGGAGGAAAGTGCTGGGGAGGAGGAGGCAGTTGGTACGCAGGAGGCAGAGGGCGAAGAGGAGGAAGGAAGAGTGATGAGTGTGAGGAGGAGGAGCCGTGGTGGTACTGGAGCGAGGAGCAGTATGAGTAGCAGGGAGGTTTTGAAGGGGGCAGGGAGGGTGCAGTGTGGGGCAAAGGAGGAAGTGGAGAGGACAGAAAGTGGAAGCAGCAGCGGGAGGAAGAGCAGGAGCAACATGAAGGGTGGGAGGGCTGGGGGAGGTGGAGGTGGTCGGAGGAGGAAGCTGGTTGCATGGAGTAGCAGTGAGGAGGAGAGTGGGGAAGAAGATGTGGAGGAGAGTGGAGAAACGAGTGGGGAGGAAGAGGAGGAGGTGGTGGTGCAGCGCAGTGCAGGGCGTAGGGGGCAGGGAAGGAATCAGAGGAGGGCAAGTGAGCCGAAGGAAGCAGAGGAATCAGAGGAAGGAGAGGGAGCAGAGGTAGAGGAGGTAGAGGAGGTAGAGGAGGAGAGTGAGGGTGTTGAGGAAGTAAATGACAGTGAGGAGGAGGGGGGTGAAGTGGAAGGGAGTGAAGAGGAGAGGAGTGAGGGAGGAGAGGAGGAGAGTGAGGTGGATGTTGAGGAAGTTAGTGAGGAGGAAGGAGCCAAGGAGGATGTGGAGGGATATGAGGAGGACGAGGAGGAGGGAGGGGAAGAAGGGGAGGAGGATGACGACAGAGATGTTGTGGCGGACAAGAGCCAGGCGTTTCAGGTTGAACTGAGGCCTGTTGGGGAGAGGAAGCTTCCTTGCAGGCAGGGGGGCAGTGAGGAGAGAAACGGCGGGATAGAGAACGTTGTCTTGAGGCCAGTGGCCGAGAGGAAAGGGAAGGGGCGGGGGCAGGGGAGAGCGGTAGTGGATAGTGACAATGACGGGGGTAATAGTGATGGAGGGGGTGTGACTGAAGGGGGGGGAACGGCTATGAGGCGTTTGAAGAACAGGCGGGCTGCACTGCTTGGGAGTGAGAGTGAGAGTGAAGGGGAGGTGGAGATGTGTGGGAGGAAGTCACTTGGAAGGAGGAAGCCTGCCACTCCAAGGTAAGTGCAGACTTGTTTTCAAATGCTGCTGGCATTTCTGAGTGGATATGAGTCATCGATATTTATGAGCGGAGGGGCTTACTTGCTTCCTCGTTGTCTTGTTTTTTGTGTGGATGCAGGAACCCATTGCGCCCAATTGCTAACAAGAACTGATGATGGGCATGTCCTGCCACCCACAGCTGGTCGATGTAGGGTAGCTAGGATTTCATGCTTTTCTTTTCTGTTCAAATATAGCATTCACAGAGCTACCTATATTATAACCGAGATAGCGAAGAATAATGTAATTCGTACAAAATACATGCTTGTGGATTGAGTTGCAAGCTTCAACAACTTGGACAACATGTATAAGAGTAAGGGTACATTCCTGCGGGGACATTTGTGTCACAAAGACAAGGTACCGCTCTGTACCGAACCGAACCCAAGCTCGAAATGTTTGAACAAAGCGGTTTGGTTCGGTACAGAGAACTACCTTGCTTTTGTGACACAAATGTCCCCACATGAAGATACCCTAAATTGTCAATGCCGAGAATGAGCGTAAATACATTGGTGCAAGTATTGTTTCGCGACTAGTTCATATAGAGTCCTTCTAAAAGCGGTGATATCTGGGCAACACGCCAGGACCCTGACACGTGGTCCGTGAGTGCTGCGCTGTCGGCTTCCAGGATTTCAATTCCCCTTTCCACGGACTCGTCGCGAACTTCGCTGGCGCAGAACTCCTAGGAAACGTAGATTGCCCACGACAATTTGGCGAATCACGAAAAAGCAACCGACATGCGTTGTCATATCCGCTCCGCCTGTGGGCGCATTCCAAATCCCGCGGCTCGCCACATCACATTTCACAAACCTCGCTTTTCGCCCTCGAGTCCCTCACACTGGGTTAGCCCGCGCAGCTCCAAGAAAGGAAATTTCTGAAACTATAGATACTCCCCCCTGGCTGGTGTTCCAATCCAACAGATCAACCTTCTCAGCTCTCTCTCTTACGTCACACAGTCAGGATCGAGCGACCGCTGCTGACCAAAGCAAGCACATTTCTTCTGCTTGCTATTTAAGTTTTCAGCTTCAGCTGTTGTTTACTCTCCGTTTCGTAAACGGCAACCATGGCGGCTCTCGCTTCGTCCCTGTCCGTGTCCTCGCGCCTGGCGATGCCGTCCGCGGCGATGACGGCGAGCAGCAGCAAGCTGAGCGCCTCGGCCTCGTTCGCGCCGAGCGTGAAGCACAGCTTCGGGTGCTCCGCGTCGAGCAGCCGCGTGGTGATGGCGGCGGCCGCCGCCGGCAAGGACAAGCCGAGGGAAGGCTCTAAGGAGCCCGCGCAGGAGACGCTGCTCACGCCGCGTTTCTACACCACCGACTTCGACGAAATGGAAGCGGTAAGCCCACTCGCCACGCTCCCGCGGCGTTTCTTCTAGCCTGATAATGGTCTCCCGATCCCCCTCTCCTCGAACCCGAAAACACAAGGATCTGCATTGCTTTCTCGATCCTCCATTTTCAGAACTGAACGCCATAGCTAATCATTCTTGCTTCTCCTTCTGCCGCGATCCCCCCCACTTCCCCCTCCTCGCAGCTGTTCAACCGCGAGATCAACCCGTACGTGAACCAGGCGGAGTTCGACGCGTGTCTGGAGGAGTTCCGGGCGGACTACAACCAGACGCACTTCGTGCGCTCGCCCGACTTCAAGGCGGCGGCCGACAAGATCCAGGGCCGCGCGCGCGAGATCTTCGTGGAGTTCCTCGAGCGCTCGTGCACCGCCGAGTTCTCGGGCTTCCTGCTCTACAAGGAACTGGGCCGCCGACTCAAGAAGACCAATTGGCCCGTGCATTGCGGAGATCTTCACGCTCATGTCGCGCGACGAGGCGCGGCACGCGGGGTTTCTGAACAAGGCGCTGTCGGATTTCAACCTGTCGCTGGACCTGGGGTTCCTGACCAAGGCGCGCAAGTACACCTTCTTCAAGCCGCAGTACATCCTGTACGCCACGTTCCTCTCGGAGAAGATCGGCTACTGGCGCTATATCACCATCTGCCGCCACCTCACGGCACACCCCGAGTTCGCGTGCTACCCGATCTTTGAAAAGTTCGAGAACTGGTGCCAGGACGAGAACCGGCACGGCGACTTCATCACGGCCATGCTCAAGTGCTACCCCAAGTTCCTCACTTCGTGGGACTCGAAGCTGTGGGCGCGCTTCTTCTGCCTCTCCGTGTACGTGACCATGTACCTCAACGACCACCAGCGCGGCGCCTTCTACCGCAACCTGGGGCTGGACGTGAAGCAGTTCGACCTGCACGTGATCAAGGAGACGAACCGCACGTCGGCGCGCATCTTCCCCGCCGTGCTGGACGTCGACAACCCCGAGTTCGAGTGCAAGCTCGACCACCTCGTGCGCCTGCACGAGAGCATCATCGCCGTTGACGCGAATCAAGGCGCGCCCGAGCTGCTGCGGCGCGTGCAGAAGCTGCCGCTGCAGGCGGCGTTTGTGGGCGAGCTGCTCGCCATGTACCTCATGCGCCCCGTCGACGCGGGCTCCGTCGAGTTCGACCACGAGGAGGCGCGCATCGTCTATTAACGAGCGCAAAAACCGTCTAAATGCACTGCCGTTTTTTTCTCTCGTTCCTTCTGTGGTACAGCCAGCCGCTGGCCCTGAATTTGTGTAAATTTCCTTTTCATTTAATAAACGGGTTTGCCCTTTTTCTTCGGCTCCACATGTATACTCTGAAGATTCTGCACTGTGATGTAGAGTCCTTGTGCTGGTTCAGATGCAACAGGTTTTATTCTGGCAGCTGCACTTGCTGCTGTGGGTGGCTGCATTTGCTGTGAAGTTGCAGCTGCTGGGGTAGAAGGGGTTGGCTGCGCAGGGGGGAGATGGTCAAGGCGAGAGGACGTGGAGGCGGGCAGAGAAAGTGAAATAAAACAGGGTGCGTCTGTGCTTGCATCTCTCCCCCTATTCTTGATTCTTGGTTTCTCAATCTCTGCATTCCTCCTTGCGTCCAAGGTACCGTAATCCCCCGCATAGTACACCCTAGGGTGTACTGATAAATTCCCCCCTTTAGGGGGGTGTTCAATTTTGGGGGGGGTGTAAGCCTGCACCCATGGGTGTTATATAATGGCATACACAATTATTTTAAATTATATGTATTCTGTATTCAGCTCTCTGAACTCTATCGAAACCAGCTGAAACAGCTTTCGCACAGCGCGTGGAATTCGTGCCACGTCACTCTGACACAAGCAGGCTTGCCACCAATCGCGCAGTGACGAATTGGGGCCAGCCTCTCCACCTTGCGCGGTTGTCTCTAGGGTGGCGCTTGGTTCTTGGTCTGGAATTTTCGTTTGAAACTCAAATTTCGTTACAGAATTCGATAAAATTGTCTCAGGGGGTGTACTAAAAAATACAAAAAATATGGGGGGTGTTCTAACTGGTGTATTTTTCAGTACACCCACCGTAATTGAACACCCATGGGTGTTCAATTTTGGGGGGTGTTTTATGCGGGGGATTACGGTACCCTGTTGTTTCTGTTGGAAACAATAAATTGTAAACGCCTCTGTCGTGTCGAAACACCACACCAGAAGCGAAGCACGCCATGTCGAAGCACCCGCGAGTCAACCCTCGGAGGTTAAAAGAGGTTGCTGGAGGTTACGCGAAAGTCAAAGGTCAAGCGACCTTTGACCTGACAAATACAGCGCGACAGTTAAGGACACACAACTGACTCGTTACAGAGCAGTTGCCCGAGTCGTACTGTATCGAACCGCAACAGCAACAGTAAAGTAGTTACAAACTGCATCCTTTCATATTCCTTGTATTATTATATAATCTTGTACTTCCTTGCTATAATCAATCTACTTTGCCCTCACATACCAGCGCAAGGTGGTTCACAAACTTTTGTTAAACGCTTCCGCTATTACAACACTATCCATCCAGAGTTCTCCCTTGAAAGATCCTAAGGGGCTATCTCAGCCCAACATGGTATGAGAGCAAACAGGGGAAACTCTACTACCTTCAAATCATTACAAGACATGGCAACAAGCAAGGAAAGGAGCTCCTCTAACGGCTCCCCAGGCACTACTCCTACTCCACCTCCTGCCTCTGGCCTACAGACAGAGGAAGGCACGGCAACAAGACCAAGAGTAACATCTACTGAAACTCCCGCAAATCACCCCGCGAACTTCGACCCGAGTATAATGGAGAAGTTCTTCTCCTTCATGTCCTTCTACGAGCAGCACCAGCAGTCGGGACCTGCACAATCACACAACAGCAACAACAACGGAGCAACACCCATGAGCCTTGACGGGTCGTCATATGCGCGCGGAAACCAACAGCAGCAACCTACCTTCGCCCCGTACGAGCGCGGGTCGATCAGCTTCATGCCGCAGCCTTCACCTGGACAAGATAAACCACTGGACGCGTTACAAGTGCAATCGCAGTTCGCGCACGTTCTGAAGCTGCAGACATCAAGGCCCTTCGACGGAAAGGACTTCTTCACCTGGTCATTCGAGTTTGAGTTAATGATGGAAGGCGCGCAGATACTCGGCTTCTTCGACGGGTCCCTGCAATACCCAACAAACGGCACACAGTATGAGAAGCAGCAGTATACGTATCAATCGATGATGGCGTATACGATTCTGCTGAGGAACGTCACACCAACTCAGCAGCAGAACATACGCTCTTACCGGGGTTACGGCAACTCCGCTGAGCTCGCGTACAGCCACCTGAAGAGCCTGTATCAAGCAACAGACAGCGTAAACCAAAGCAGGTTAATGGCGCAGTTGACAACAGTTGAAATGAAACCGGGAGAAAAGGGGATGGCGTATATCAGCCGATGTCGCGAACTGCGCGACAAGCTTCTTCGATGCGGAGGGTCAATCTCTGAAGACGCCTTCGTGACAGTCATCATTGGTGGTCTCGGTCCCCAATGGCGCGCCACCAAAGCTATCCTCCGAGCCCACGGCAGAATCTCTGAAGCAGCACTCTGCGCCGAAATCCACGCTGAGCAGCAGGACATGGACCTGCAAGAAGAACGACACAGAAAGAAGACGACAACATCAGAGTTCGCGTTTCACACTCAACGACGTCACAACAACTACAACAATCGACAGCAACAACCGAAGCCAGTACCTCCTTTCTGCCACATCTGCAAGACTTCAGGACACCCGCGCACACACTGCCCGAATCGACAACAGTCAACGACTCCGCAGCGACAGCTACGACCTTCAAGCAATCAAGTCGCATCAACACAGGCGAATCCAACGACCCAGCTCCAATCTTCAACAACTCCAACGGGACAACCTGCGCAAGGAGCAAGAAACATCGTTAGCTGCATGGCAAGACTGAACGATTCTTGCATCACAGAATCGCCACCGTACTACTCACCAGAAGAGCAATTCGACGAAACGACACCACGCCGCGAGTCACTTCAGCCGAACCCGACATACGCTGCCATAGCCCAAAACGAGCCATCCGGGAAGGACACGTGGTTCTTGGACAGTTGCTGCGGACAACACATGTGCTCCTCAGGACGCTTCGTACAACGAGAATACCAGCTTCAACGAGAGGTGGTCATCACCGTCGCCAACAATCAGAACCTGCGCACACGACGACAAGGAGTTGTTCAACTTCAGTCACGAGAAACGAACGTCATTCTACAGATGTCCAAGGTTTTAATTGCAGAAGGCCTCGGCTACAACTTACTCAGCGTCAGTCAACTGATGGCGAAAGGCATTCACCTTGAAGCAGACAGCACAACCCAGGAATTCAAGCTGTACCACGGGAGAGGAGGTCTCTACATCGGCAAGGCGGTTCTCAAGAACAACGTCTTCGTTCTTGACTTCGTCCCCGATCTCGGAACGGCCGACAGCGACGCCATCGTCAACTTCACTGACTGGACACATCCTCCAGATCTTGATCCAGACTTCAGCCCGAGCGGCTTCTGGTACTCACACACCATCCCTGAAACAGAAAGAACAAGGGCGCTGGCGACAATTCAGCAGTCGGCAGCAGCAGAGACAACATCGGCAGCAGCAGAGACAACATCGGCAGCAGCAGAGACAACATCGGCAGCAGCAAAGACAACATCGGCAGCAGCAGAGACAACATTGGCAGCAGCAGAAACAACATCGACAGCAGCACAGACAACAGCAGCAGCAGCAGAAACATCAACACCAGTCGCCGGTCCCTCAACGGCACAGCCCTTCATCGACGAGACGCCGCCAACACCGGCGCAGCAGCTCAACCCGGCACCACGGGAAGTTCACAGAAGCGCGAACATCATCGCCGGCTTCTACTCCAACTCCGACATGTACCGACGCTCGCCAGGACACCGCGCCAACGAAGAAACCTGGCACGCAAGAATGGGACACCCAAGCAACACAGTATTAAACAACACGATAAGAGCTGGAGTACTTGACAAGGATTCACTCTTACTGATCGACGGCAGAGAACTTCAGCGAGCTCGAGGAACGTGCTTCACCTGCCCCGAAGCTGACTTACCGCATCAGCCCTTCGTCTCGCATCACAACCCAAGCGCACCTGCATATGCACCACTCGAGAAAGTGTACAGCGACATCTTGTACAACCGCGAACCCGGACAAAACGCGTATAACTACACCATCACCTTCATCGACGCCGCTACACGTTACGTCTGGCACCTAAACTTACCAAGTCGCGACATGGCTTTCGAGGCTTTCGTGGCATGGCTTCCAGCAGCAGAACGGGAATCGGGAGCTAAGCTCAAAAGTTTTCAATCAGACGGAGGAGGAGAATACTCGTCACAGCGGTTCATGTCGGAGTTAACAGACAGGAATGATTGAACTAACAGAGAAATCAGTACAAATAGCAAACCCTAGAATTGTGTACCCCATATAGGCTAACCCACTGTAGCCTAACAAACGCAACATAATAATGTTTGACACACCCCCATAGGCAAAGTGGGGGAGACCTAGGGGTCACAAGACCAGTCAAGGCAAAGCAAGGCAACAACAAGCTCAGGGTGGATCTCAAGGATACCACACAAATTCCGAGCACAAGCAAGTGGTCACAAGACCAGTTCACATGCAGGTTTATAACTGAACATGAGATACAGTGATCACAACCTAGCAAGAGTAAACATGCAGGTATAGATATATATAGTGATCACAGTACAAGCAAAGTCAAGAGGTAAGCAAGTGAGGTCCAGTAGGCACAAGGCCTAGTAGAGTGCAGAAGCGCTGATGGTCACGAGGCTGAAGCGCCTTGGTGAACACATCAGCAGTGTTGGCCTCAGTGGCCACGTAGCGAATACAAAGCTGACCGCGCTGCTGCAGCTCTCGAGCAAGGAAGTACCGCAGGGCGATGTGCTTCGTTCTGTGCTCCAGTCTGTGCTCCTCACACAAGGCAATGGCAGCCTTGTTGTCGACGTACAGTACTGGAGGAGAACGAGGCGGCTCTCCGAGGTCAGTCAGCAGGTAGGTCAGCCAGCGTAGCTCCTGGGCAGCCATGGCTGTAGCGTAGATCTCAGCCTCGCAACTGGAGCCGAGAACAGAAGAAGAGCGTGTAGAGCGCCAAGAAACTGAGCCAGAGCCAAGGCTGAAGGTGTA